TAGACCAATCACAACAGACTGGGCCATCTGACCAATCACAACAGACTGGGCCATCTGACCAATCAGAACAGAGTAGACCAATCACAACAGACTGGGGCATCTGACCAATCAGAGCAGATTAGACCAATCACAATAGACTGAGCCATCTGACCAATCAGAGCAGAGTAGACCAATCACAACAGACTGAGCCATCTGACCAATCAGAGCAGAGTAGACCAATCACAACAGACTGGGCCATCTGACCAATCAGAGCAGAGTAGACCAATCACAACAGACTGAGCCATCTGACCAATCAGAGCAGAGTAGACCAATCACAACAGACTGGGCCATCTGACCAATCAGAGCAGAGTAGACCAATCACAACAGACTGAGCCATCTGACCAATCAGAGCAGAGTAGACCAATCACAACAGACTGAGCCATCTGACCAATCAGAGCAGAGTAGACCAATCACAACAGACTGAGCCATAGACATATTAAATACATAGACGCCCTATTGGCCGCTTTGGAGCGTTGCTGCGATACGTCAACGGGTCCGCCATTTTGCTGAGGGCAAGACTGCACAGTAATCAAATGTAAGCAAACGGGGGAGCTGCGTTTTTTCTGGATAAAAACAAACTGTTTTCACATTTATCAACCGATTTCAGTGGTTTGTATGTGGTGTACAAAAAGTTCCATCTCTAGTTATTTAAAATCTCGATAGTTAGACTTGTAAAATATTTTTTTTTAATAAAGAATGGTCAAAGCTCAGGCTTGTCATGTATTTGGCTTTTTATTCTTGGATAAGAATGGTGAAGACCCCCATACTGAGATATAAGTTTTCTTATTGTGGAAAAAGTGTGATTTTCTGTGTTTGACCAGATTTTAGCAATAACAAAGATAACTGATGGATCCTTTATGATAATACATGTTACGGTACCGTACAACTATAGTGCAATGCAAATAGTAAATATAACATAAAGTGAGAAGTAATAGTAAATAGTCAATAAAATAAACAAATAGTATACAGCAAATAAAATAGTAATGAATAGTATAATTATATAATATCATAAGTACAATAATACAATCATAAAAGTATTGATAATAGCATATAGTTTATTAATAATACTATAGCAATAGTAGCCTGACTTCGTCATACTCATATTCTAGTCAGAATGTGAGTCTGATACTGCTCCATAGGGCTTTGATTATGAGGCGTGTCTTAACCGAACCAGGAAAAAAAAAACTCTGCACTCAATTGGATAGACCTACAACCAATCAGAGCAACGCAGTTAGTCAACTACTTTGCATAGCACAGTTGTCAACTACAGAACTCAAATGCACGCACGCTGGAAGTAGTAAAATAACGAGTGTTGCTTCTTTTACTTGGTCCTCTATGAGTGCGACCAAAGGAGAAACCACAACGACCACAGGGCTTTCATTGCGTCCCGTCTTCTTAGCGACCATCGGAGCCAGCTGATAAAATAAACTTTTGCCGAATCCCATAGGAAGGACGGCAAACACATCTTTCCGATCGACAAATGCCTTGATTGCAGTTCTCTGTTCGTCTATTAAAATGAATGCGCTGTCGATTTCTTTTACAACGGACGCGATAGCGGGATCTATACATCTCAGTTCTCCAGCGGCAGTCATCTGTGAGGGAAACCAGTTCAACCCAAGCGCTCTTGATAACGTGATGATTACGTAACTGCAGATCATCTGTCCATCATCGTATAAAGCCCGCCCTGGCAATTTGATTGGCCCGACGATTTCTGAACCGATCATAATTACTCTTCAATGGATCGAGTCCAGACCGAACTTCCCGACCAACAAATGTTGTGGGCGGGGTTCGGGCTGGCATCCAGGCTATAGCAATAGAATAAGAAATATAAATTACAGAATATACACAATAAAAAAATAAGTTAAATAGTGACTTTAATATTTAACTCTTTTTGTTAAATTTCAGTTTTATTGATCAGTAATAGCCATTAAAACAGAAGTAGCTTCAGTCAAACATACAGCAGGATACAACGTTAAAATAGCCTAAAAATAAAGTTATGAAACTTCACTTTGCCCTCAGCCATAACGATTTACCAGGGAACCATTTATAGATTAATGAGACCAAAGATCGCCCGTTAGATATACACAAGACGAATTATATCTCATGTTTAACCACTACGTTAGACTACAGACATCCGAGTCAGCGGCAGAACTTCAGAAGCGCTGGCCGAGGTACGGCTGTTCCAGGCGGGGTAGACGAGCGCTGAGCGCATCTTACAACTCCGAAAACGTCAGATCAAATGTTTAAATAGGCGCTATCTTTATAAACAAACCACATATTTGAGCTTTAAACAACTACATTGTCGACTGAAAAACTATTTAAACTACATTTCGTGACACAATAACAGTAGTATTTCTAAATTTATCCTCTGAACGTTACTATTACGTATTAAATCATGACCAAATACAACCAAAAACAAACGTTCAGTCTTGCTTGTGAAAGGTAATTCCTCGAAAGCTGTTTTCAATTGTGTGGCGATGTGTACAGCCCCAAGCAGCGCACAAAACAGGCATTTTTCTCAATTCCCGGTATGAGAGGAATGGGAGAGTTGCCATCCCCAATTTGGCAGCGCCGTTGACGTACGCTCCAGCGGCCAATAGGGCGTCTATGTATTTATTATGTCTATGATCTGACCAACCAGAGCAGAGTTGACCAATCACAACAGACTGGGTCATCTGACCAATCACAGCAGAGTAGACCAATCACAACACCCTGGGTCATCTGACCAATCAGAGCAGAGTAGACCAATCACAACACCCTGGGTCATCTGACCAATCAGAGCAGAGTAGACCAATCACAACACCCTGGGTCATCTGACCAATCAGAGCAGACACTGTGAGAAAAGAGCTGATGATGCAATTATATGATGAGAAAATTGTTTTGTTTTTTACCTTTGATGAATGTAAACATTGTTGGAGACCTATTATAAAACCTTTTAAAATAGTATAATAGGGGAACTTTAATGCCTGCGATTTCAGCAATCCTATAAGATCATAACAGATCACACTGTACGATGTGTGTGTGTGTGTTGTACCTGTGGGGTCGTGACCCTGAAGGTGGCTGTCCTGGTGTGTGTGTGTGTAAGGTACCTGTGGGGTCGTGACCCTGAAGGTGGCTGTGTGTGTGTGTGTGTGTGTGTGTGTGTGTGTGTGTGTGTGTGTGTGTGTGTGTGTGTGTAAGGTACCTGTGGGGTCGTGACCCTGAAGGTGGCTGCGGTGGTGGGAGTGTGTGTGTGTGTGTGTGTGTGTGTGTGTGTGTGTGTGTGTGTGTGTGTGTGTGTGTGTGTGTGTGTGTGTGTGTGTGTGTGTGTGTGAGGTACCTGTGGGGTCGTGACCATGAAGGTGGCTGTGCTGGTGTGTGTGTGTGTGTGTGTGTGTTAGGTACCTGTGGGGTCGTGACCCTGAAGGTGGCTGCGGTGGTGGGAGTGTGTGTGTGTGTGTGTGTGTGTGTGAGGTACCTGTGGGGTCGTGACCCTGAAGGTGGCTGTGCTGGTGTGTGTGTGTGTGTGTGTGTGTGTGTGGTACCTGTGGGGTCGTGACCCTGAAGGTGGCTGTGCTGGTGTGTGTGTGTGTAAGGTACCCGTGGGGTCGTGACCCTGAAGGTGGCTGTGCTGGTGGGTGTGTGTGTGTGGTACCTGTGGGGTCATGACCCTGAAGGTGGCTGTGCTGGTGTGTGTGTGTGTGTGGTACCTGTGGGGTCGTGACCCTGAAGGTGGCTGTGCTGGTGTGTGTGTGTGTGTGGTACCCGTGGGGTCGTGACCCTGAAGGTGGCTGTGCTGGTGTGTGTGTGTGTGTGTGGTACCCGTGGGGTCGTGACCCTGAAGGTGGCTGTGCTGGTGTGTGTGTGTGTGTGTGTGTGGTACCTGTGGGGTCGTGACCCTGAAGGTGGCTGTGCTGGTGGGTGTGGGTGTGTGTGTGTGGTACCTGTGGGGTCGTGACCCTGAAGGTGGCTGTGCTGGTGGGTGTGGGTGTGTGTGTGTGGTACCTGTGGGGTCATGACCCTGAAGGTGGCTGTGCTGGTGTGTGTGTGTGTGTGTGTGTGTGTGTGTGTGGTACCTGTGGGGTCGTGACCCTGAAGGTGGCTGTGCTGGTGTGTGTGTGTGTGTGTGTGTGTGGTACCCGTGGGGTCGTGACCCTGAAGGTGGCTGTGCTGGTGTGTGTGTGTGTGTGTGTGTGTGTGTGGTACCTGTGGGGTCGTGACCCTGAAGGTGGCTGTGCTGGTGGGTGTGTGTGTGTGTAAGGTACCTGTGGGGTCGTGACCCTGAAGGTGGCTGTGCTGGTGGGTGTGTGTGTGTGTGTAAGGTACCTGTGGGGTCGTGACCCTGAAGGTGGCTGTGCTGGTGGGTGTGTGTGTGTGTGTGTGTGTGTGTGTGTGTAAGGTACCTGTGGGGTCGTGACCCTGAAGGTGGCTGTGCTGGTAGGTGTGTGTGTGTGTGTAAGGTACCTGTGGGGTCGTGACCCTGAAGGTGGCTGTGCTAGTGGGTGTGTGTGTGTGTGTGTGTGTAAGGTACCTGTGGGGTCGTGACCCTGAAGGTGGCTGTGCTAGTGGGTGTGTGTGTGTGTGTGTAAGGTACCTGTGGGGTCATGACCCTGAAGGTGGCTGTGCTGGTGGGTGTGTGTGTGTGTGTAAGGTACCTGTGGGGTCGTGACCCTGAAGGTGGCTGTGCTGGTGGGTGTGTGTGTGTGTGTGTGTGTAAGGTACCTGTGGGGTCGTGACCCTGAAGGTGGCTGTGCTGGTGGGTGTGTGTGTGTGTGTGTAAGGTACCTGTGGGGTCGTGACCCTGAAGGTGGCTGTGCTGGTGGGTGTGTGTGTGTGTGTGTGTAAGGTACCTGTGGGGTCGTGACCCTGAAGGTGGCTGTGCTGGTGTGTGTGTGTGTGTGTGTGTGTGTAAGGTACCTGTGGGGTCGTGACCCTGAAGGTGGCTGTGCTGGTGTGTGTGTGTGTGTGTGTGTGTAAGGTACCTGTGGGGTCGTGACCCTGAAGGTGGCTGTGCTGGTGGGTGTGGAGGGTCTCGGTGAGATGCTGTTCTGAGCCTGAGCTTGAGCCAGAGCCTGTTGAGGAACCATCACCAGCTGACCCATCTCTGTGCGGACCAGCACCATACCTCAAACACACACAGCATCAGTTATTCTCACACATACAATCACTAAATACACAGCAATGCTTGAAACAAAGTTACAGTCAACAGCTGGAGATTCTGACAAATTATTATGTTTTATAATAACATGTGAAAAATAGCATTGAGGAAATGACAGGATTTTAATAAGTTGACAGTGTGAATTGTGAAATGCTAAACATCATCTATTTTAAACCACATTTGTTCATTCTTTTGTAATTATTATGCATGCAGATAAGATTATTTTAAAGAATAAATGCAATACTGTACTGTCATTTATCACACCACTAGTGATTAAACATGGAGAAAACGTGAATGAGAAAAGAAATAGTGACCTGAAAAATTAAATTTCAATACTTCTATAATACTGATTCTTAAACATTTGTATGTTTTTAGAAATTCATTGAAAATTCAAAATTTGTTTAGATTTTTTAAACACATTTTAAGCGCTTTAAACTAACATTATGATGAAATGTGCTATATAAATAATCTTTCCTTTGACATGCTATATGTAAAGTTTTTTTTTATAAAACAAAACGACTCGTTTAACAGCATATCACTGATTACACACACAATTAAACAGCTTTCACCATCACAACTCACATCAGCTTAAAACAACGATCGGACTCGGAGCTGACATGAAGTTTACATGTATTATTTACATTCACTTGTTTCATAACTAGTGCTGTAAACACACCAATAATGGTAGGCTAGGTTGTTTCATGATGAATCACACTTCATAATTAAAATCTAAACTCAGTCAACAAATACGGTAGTCTAGAAACTGTAATCTGTGAAAGTTGTAAGATATCCTGTGACTTTTAGCTCATTATTGAGCATCAGTCCGCATCCAAACACACCTGTGAAAAGATCACCTACACCGAATAACAGAAACTCCAGCCTAGTTTTTACACATCTGGGCTTGTAACTGAAAGGTTTAAAAAAGGTTTTATGTTTGAATCTCATCCATAATCGTATTTTTCACCTCTGTTCATTTGGAGATGAAACTAAAGTTATTAAAGTTGCATTAGAGCTGCGGCCCCGGGAAGTGTTTGCATCCACTCATAAATGTAATGACTTGCATCAGCATCATCTGGTGAGAAGTTTGTTTACATATACTGAACCCATAACATACATCATGGAGAATATTATTGGTCACGCATAAAAATGTTATTTCATACAACATATTATATTACATAACAAAACATCAAAGCAAGCATCATTGTAAAGAAAGAAAGCACACACAAACTTCTCAAGGAAAACATCTGACAAAAATAAATTGTTGAAAATTAGTCAAGCAAGAATAACATTTACTATTTATAATTGTCACACACTTTTTGGCCACTGAATATATCATACTGAAAAATGTATTTATTGATTTTAAAAAAATTGCAAATAAAGTAAAAAGTCTTTTTAGAAGTCAAAGTTTAAAGGTCTTTAAAGTGTTCAACTCGGGACAGTTGATGGGCCAGCGCTGCATCATCACGAAATTTAAGCCTTGACAATTTAAATATAGTATAGTGTTACATATATACTATATACAAATATACATATAGTGGTTATCCTAGTAAACATAGTTGGTTAAGTCTTAAGTGAACGTAAACAGTTCTAGCACGTGTAACAGTATCAGTATATTAGACCCGTGCAGTCGCTCTTAAAGTGACAGCAGCCTAATATTCCTGCGGCTGTTTATAATGTTAATCAAACAACAAAGGACACAGAAAAAAAAAATCACTCTTGACTTTGATATAAGTTGAAATCCTAAATAACTAAAACCGAAATAAAACATTATTATTATCCTTTAATAAGGATTAATACAAATCTTTAGTTTAAACAGTGAAGAATATGCAGAGTTATTGTTTATTTCATTTGTATCTTTGTTATATTGTATTTATTTTGTGCTTATAACTTGATTATTTGTCCTTATTGCTTGTCTTTTTATGCTACTAGTTTTCGCTGTGGCTAAATTGTGCAATTGAGAATTGTGAATTTTCACTGGTGTCTAAAATTTTGGTGTCAAAACTGCCTGTTTTTGAAAAAACTATTTCATGGACAGTAAAAAATATTTATGGTCGGTACATTATCTTAAGTCCCTGTGTGCTGTGGCAAAAAGTTAGTTTAAGCCCTGTATACACACCTGCAGTCAAATGTTTAGACACACTTGACACTAATTTATGTTTCTTGTGCTATTAGAAAACTTTTGATCGAAATGCTACTGCTTAAATGCTTTAAAAAGACGAATTAAAGCAGATAGTGCAGGAAGAGCATCAACAGGTGCTCATAACAGAATGCACCTGATGAATGTCTCTAGAGTGACCAACAAGAAGTTTAAATCTAAGAGTTTTCATTTGTGCCACACGTGTTTGCCAGACTCCCATCTGTCAGTGAGAGTCGGCATCATGTGAAAGAGATCGGTACCTGGCGGGATGGTGAATCCGGGTGGCAGCTGAATGGTAGTTTGTTGTTGCGGTGGTCTGACGATCAGCTGCGGCGTTACGAGCCTCTGTTGCGCAGGGGGCTGCGCGGGTCTGACGCCCGGAGCAGCACTGACACTGACAGCGGGTTTGACAGGCGTTGCTGCGGGCGCGGCGGGAGGCGACGCGGCTTTCGCGTTGTTCCCCGGTGCTTTGCTGTGGTTCACCTGCGCGCCCGCCGCTCCAATCCGCGCGCCCTGCTGGACCAGCGCGGACACCGACGTTCCGTTTCCATTCTGCGCGATGCTGGCGATAATGTGCCGCGGGAGTCGGTGCAGCGCGATGGTGGGCGTCCCGCGGTCCAGCGCGATCGCCTGCGGGTTACTGGCCACGGTGATAGTCGGGCTGGAGGTGCTGGGTGATGCTGATGCTGCGCCGTTGAGACTGTGGGACGCTGAGGCGCGTCGCGCGCGCGCGTTCGGGTGTTTCTTGCGGGTGTCCCTCGGGCTCTCACCTTTGTTGCCCGGTGCAGGAGCGGATCCCCCGTCGGAGGCTGCAGCCGTAGTGATGATGATGATGCTGCCGTGAGACTTCAGAGGACTCTCCTTCTCCAGGGCTTTCGGGTGCTTATCCATGCTGGCGTCTTTCGGGTCTGAATCCGGGTTGCGCGCCGCTTTCCTCGCGTTCTGCTGCTGTGTTTGTTGTTGTGGTTCTGATGGAGAGTCTACATGAGCTCTTCCTCCTGGTTGCTGCTGCTGCTGCTGCTGCCTCTCGCTGCCCGGGCGCGCGTTCTCGGGCTGCGCGCGCGTCGCGTCGCGTTGACCCCCAAGCTGAGACTCCAGCGAGCCCACTAGATCGCTCACGGCTTTCTCGTCCACCTCGGAGAAGAGCATGTCTTCCAGAGGGTCGGAGGCGCCCGCCATGTTCGCTCGCTCTGTGTGTGTGATGGGCTGTCTCTGCTGGTGCGCGTCCACGAGCGCGAGTGCGCAGTCGTGTTACTATGGCATTGTGGGAATGGATATGACGTCAGAGGGCCAAAGCCAAACAGTTGTCCCCCTGTTACAACTCAAGGCGGTCGAGGACAGTCTACTAATACACACGAGTTTGGAGGGAAAAGATAGATAGATAGATAGATAGATAGATAGATAGATAGATAGATAGATAGATAGATAGATAGATAGATAGATAGATAGATAGATAGATAGATAGATAGATCATTTTATTGTTTTTTATGAAATATTCATACAACCATTAATATGCATTCTTTATAAAATAATGCATTCTGTCTCTTATTAATGAAAGGTCCATGCAGCAAGTGAAAGGTTAGCGTTTACTTTCAAATAAAGTAGGGCAAAAGATACAGAAAATACAAAGGAAATTGACATTTAAGCATTAGAAAATCGATAATGGTGGAAAGGTTTATGAAAGTTTTTGATTTCAAAGCATGATACAAACTTGGAACGATGTCATCAAGCTTTTACACTTTCAGTGTATTAGTCCTTCGTTTTTTTCCCTGCTGTTTGTAATCTGACATGCCAGATGTAATTGTGACACAACAAATGCCTTTGAAGATCAGCTCTCCTCATTGGCTCATGTGTGTCTATATCACAGAGCTGATCTTGAACAGTCATAACTTATTACAGTTTCACAGCCACTGTTAACAAGGGGCTATGATAATAACTGTTGAATAAATAGGCTTATTTTGATTACTTGCAGTGACTATTGATGTGATGGGATTTCATTTCAGGGTGCCTTATTAACTTATAACTTAATTGTTTTAACTTATTATTTTGTAATATAACATAACATAATAACATGACATAATATAACATGAAAATATATAATATAATATAAAATGACATGACATGATATAATATAATATAAAATTACATAATATAATAATTAACAATGAACATTCAATGAAAGATGCACAAGAAGTTGCGATTGTGCTTGAGATATACTGATCTCATTATAGCCATTCAGGTCAAATAAGCTAGGGTTAGGCTACCCCTATTTTATTCTTTGAGTTAGGATAAAAATGTCCCTTTATTTACTTCTTAGTTCTTACATTAAATAATACACGTTAAATCGCATTATCTCTTACATAATTCCATAGACTGTAAAAAAAATAATTCCCAATGTAACGGGTATTTTACTCAAATCCCGTGAACTGTCGCGATACCAGCGTGAGGGAGCGATGGAGGGGGGGTAGGCTCGTTTCCCAGCATGCAACTCGATTCAGTGCGGAGGAAAATGAACTCGGCCATGTCGTGTTAAACACAGGCTGAAAGAAAACGACGTCAAATCACCGAAAAACACTCTTAAGTCCGATAAAACCGAGCGCAAAGAAGATCAGAGGACTCGAGTAGCTTCACGGGAGTGAATTAGAGCAGAAAGATGAGCGGAGGGACGCCTTATATCGGCAGCAAGATCAGTCTGATCTCAAAGGCCGAGATCCGATATGAAGGAGTTTTATACACGATCGACACTGAGAACAGCACTGTAGCTCTGGCTAAAGGTACATACAATACACACACACACACACACTCAATATTATATATATGTACATTTAATATACCGACAGAGGACATATATAAGGGAATTTCACATCAATACAGAGAATTCAGTTGTAGCCCTGGCTAAATGTAAACACAATACATACACACATTTGTATTATATATTTGTATTTGTCACATATGTAGACACATACACTCATATATTTACACAAATCAGATATCCTCCTTAGACACGGCGAAAAAGTTTTTTGAATTTAGTATTTTTTCATGTCAATACATTGTTTAGAGCATAAGAATCAAATGGGGAAAAAACATTTTTTTTGTTATGCTATGTCCTCTGTAGTGGATGATGGCATGACATGACATGTATAGGCAAAAACAATGGGATTTCTTTTCATTCACCAATCAATTTTAAGTTTCAGGACTTGTTTTAAACCAAACTTTCTAAAAAGACGATTCTCAACTATGTTAGGAAAGATGTAACGGAATGAATTGATTTGCCATTATACATGGAAATGGCATTATCTGGTTAAAATGGCCAAAAAATGGATAGTCCTATTCAATACAATGTATCTAGGCACTGTATCTAATTAGCATATTAATGTGTCTTATGGCAACATGTAATGAAAAAGGAAGAGTAATAATTGGTGACATTTGCGTAATAGTTGTGTTATAAGCATGATTTAAGTCCTCGTGTCCTCTAACGTTACATATATGAAATGAATGTCCTGTTTTGTAAAGTCATATTTTGATTAGAAACCCCATAACATTTTCCTGAGATGTTTATTTATGACAAACAATTTGAAAAGCCCTGAACGTGCTCTTTACAGGACTTTTAGACTTAAACCTGTTATATGTATGGTGTCAGAGAAGTTAAAATATAATATAATGAAACTAAAATATAATGTCCTCTACTGTGTGGACAAACGTCTATTCCTGGGTCCCAGGAGGATATAAGAGAGAACACACAAACACTGAAAACAGCACTTCTCTGATTTACTTTACACATTACAAATACAAAGTAAACATACACACGACACCACCTGGCTACAGGACCTGGAGGAAGACAAGGAGTGGATAAAAAAAAAGTTAAATGTGACCCTGGATCACAAAACCAGTCACAAGTCGCACGGGTATATTTGTGGCAATAGCCAACAATACATTGTATGGGTCAAAATTATCGATTTTTCTTTTATGACAAAAATCATTAGGATATTAAGTAAAGATCATGTTCCATGAAGATATTTTGTGAATTTCCTACTGTAAATATATAAAACATTTATTTATTTTTTAGCAAAATCGTGAACATAAATGTACAACTTTAAAGTCGATTTTCTTGCACCCTCAGTTTCCAAATTTTCAAATAGTCGTATCATCTCGGCCAAATATTGTCCTGTCCTAACAAACCTTACATCAATGGAAAGCTTATTTATTCAGCTTTCATATGATGTATACTTCTTAATTTAAAAAAAATTACCCATGTGACTGGTTTTATGGTCCAGGGTCACATATTGCTTTTTTTGTTGTTGTGAATTTTAACATTTTCCTTTCTCTTCTAGTGAAGTCCTTCGGCACTGAGGATCGCCCTACGGACAGGCCTATCCCCCCTCGAGATGATGTCTTTGAGTACATCATATTCAGAGGAAGTGACATCAAAGACCTGACTGTGTGCGAGCCGCCCAAACCCACCTGTAACCTTCCTCAGGATCCTGCCATCGTGCAGGTGAGCTGCACACACTCAGGTGTTTCTGCAGGACATGAAGCAGTGTGAATGCTGACCTGTTCTTGTGTTTATGTGCAGTCGTCTCTGGCATCTACGGCCGGTCCCTCGGCTCCTTCCTTCCAGTCATACGCCCCCTTCAGTCGGGCCCCGTACAACCAGTTCAGCGCCAGTCCCCTGGTGTCCCAGCCGTTCGGAGCAGCGGTCCCTGGTGGTGAGTTCACACTCGCTCTTGTTGTTCACGGCATTGGAGATGGTGTTTAATGTGCAAATAGAGCTCATTTTTAGAATATTTGCCAAATATCAAATCGAAACAACATCAGGTGCTTTAAGGCAAGACACTACAGGAAAAACTATTGTTTTGTTTTCCATGCACTGGTCAGTTTTAAACAACATGTCCTCTTTAAGAGTGATGGAAAGATGGAAAGTCCTTTCCTTCACAGCGGTGCGCTTTTATTCCTCCCTAAAAGCCCAAACTTAACATCCTCATGTAAAATGCAGTCTACTGTTGCTAAACCGCGGGATGTGGGTGATATTAAACAGTGATATTAAACAGTGATATTAAAACCGCCTTAAGCCACGAAAGAGACACTGTTCAGGTACTCTCCTAAACGGTCACATAGCCTACACACAAATGTCGAAATGCTGTATCCTCATAAACACAGTCAGTTATGTTTTAAGTGAATGTAAACAGTTGTGAAAGAAAACGTGTGTATTAGTGTATTGCATCCATGCAGCTCTTAAAATAACTAATAAATCTGCTGCTGTCATTAATGTTAATTATGTTGCACATTATGTTTGTGTCTATATTTAATGTATACTGCAGTGTTATTTTACATTTCTGTTGTTGGCTATTACTTCTCTGAATACCGCTGTTAGTACATCTGAAAAACCTAAAGCACTGTTTATTTAATTAATTAGGTCTGTTGTATTTTTTGTCTGTTTTGTTTGTTATTAGTTTCTTTGTTATTATTGTATTGCTGACAGTTTACTTGTAACTGTTTTGAGGGCTTTTTGCTTACATTAATTGACCTATGGCTAAGCCACGCCCCCTCCACTCACTCGGACACACAGTCAACATTCGGTGACAGGCGCTGTCACAGTAGGAGACATTTCACGGGAGGCAATTGATGATATTTGGAGACAGAAAGATTATATATCATCTCGAAGTCACCAAAAGGGCATTAACTATGCATTGGAGGGTTATATTAATAACTTTATTGTTGAGAAGGTCGATGAAAAGCTTCAGCTCCAGGCAAAAATGTACAGGTCACAGTGTTAACGTGATAAACCGCATCTCGTTGCCATCACCATCTCAGACAACAAGATAGAGGATCAGCATTGTTCATGCACTGCAGAGTATTTACATGAATCGTTCAGCACAACATTGGTTACATTTGTTATTTCGGTTATTTACATACATTTATATACGTTAATGAAGCTAAGTGACATGATGTACAACGCAGCTAGAAACTAACATTACGTTAGAGATGTTAAAGATAACGTTCAAAACTTCAAATACGTTGTTGACTTAGAACAGATGTAGACATCCTTGTTTAATTCTTGTTTAATTTATCCACGTTTAGTTGGTGTTGTGGTCTAACGTTACCGCATAACTTTATCCAGAGCAGACACGACTTATCTCGGTTGAGATGTTTGGGAAAGGGTAAAAAATACACACCGTCGCCCTGCCTCTGGAGTTGCATGTACCCCATGCACACCGTTTGACCATTTTAAACTTAAAATGACAAGAAGAAACATATAAAAACGAATGAAAACTGACTAACTGCAATGCATTTCAATGGACGTGGAAGCAGAGTGTATTGGGTTAGCTATGCGCACTGATTGGCTCATCGTGTTTGGGGGCGTGGCTTAGCCATAGGTCAATTAGCCTAGTATTAGTTTTTGCTGAAGTATCGATAATTGTAAGATTTCACTGGCATTTAAAATTATTCATCATGAAATAAGACTGAGCATATCACCCACCTATAATCGTGTTAAATAATCGTGATTTCAATATTGACTAAAATAGCCGTGATAATGATTTTTGCCACAATCGAGAAGCCCTAATTGGCAGATTTCAATTAGGTAATATTTTTAAAGGCCGTTTTCTCAAAATTAGTCTGAAATCTCCACTTCAGCCGCACACACTTGGTTTCATTCTTACCTTTATTCTGAAGGTTTTTACAGCAGTTTTACAGAAGGCATTTAATCACTCACCTGATTTATTTAACATTTTATTCATAAAAATTAAACATATGTCGTCAAAAAATTAGCAATTTTAACCTGGCTTTATCTGATTTTTGGATTTCTGTTCTGGAGATGTATACAAATTAGTGTATATATAATTAGATAAGGCCTAATTTGCATGTGTAAACATAACCTTTCAGAAAAATGTTTCACTATTAAACTGTGGTGCCTTGCCGTTTGTTTACTGTTTATCCTTATATTTTAGAGTTATATACAGTTAAGAGTTTGTCTAACTGTCCTGTTTTTGCCATGATAATAGCTTTTGCTGCTAACATGGAATAAAAACAGTGCAAGATAACTGGCCATATGTGAATAAATATGGACAATTTATACAGTGCATATTTGTATTTCAAATAGCAGAAGTTTAATTTGAAATTTGCATTTACATTTATTAATTTAGCAGACGCTTTTATCCAAAGCGACTTACAAATGAGAACAATAGAAGCAGTGAAACTAACTATAGGAGAACAATATGCAAGTGCTATGACCCTTCCCAGTTTAATCTAACGCAGTAAGTGTACTTTAAAAAAAAAATTATAAAGATAATAGATATAGAATAAAAGATAAAGTGTTAGCACATAATATATGCCAAAAACCAGAGAAAAAAGTAATTCGGCCCTTCTTGAGTCCTGCCTTGAAAACTGTTTCCATCTCGTACATTAGCAGACAAGCTATTTTTCAATTCTTTGCAGTCCTGTGTTTGAATAATTTTAAATGGATGGGAATATTCTGAAAATACAGTCAGATGTTGTTTCATAAGGCACTTGCCTAGAGAGGATGCACAGAATATTTTTTTGTCTGAGTGAGGAACAGTTGAGCAAGGATTGCGGATCTTATGGAAAGGTTGAATGCATGAGTGTTTGACTGCTGCATAACCTTCACATTTCTCCTGGTGTGTGACGTGTTAAAGCCCACACTTAAAGTTGTGCACTTCCTCCCCTCACAGGAACGAGCTCAGGTCCTGTGTTCGGTAGCGAGGCGAGCACTACTGCCCCTCAGTCCCAGAGCTCTCGCTCGCTGAGTGCTCACAAACCCGAAGGTAACCGGATGACCGACGCTAACGTGTGCAGAATGGCTTCAGTGTGTGCGTGGATTATGCAGGATTACAGCATGTGTCTTTGCCCTGTGATAGTTTTATGACTCCAGTCCTTTGGTCTGTCAATTAGTGACTTTAAAGACAACATGAAATCAAATTACACTAATATATCAGAGCACATTATTCTAAAGAAATATTCGTTTTTCATTACATTGCAAGAACTTCTGTTGATGTAAGCAATGCCAGACAAATGAGTAAACACAGTATTGACTATAGAAATCATAGCCACTTTTCACAATCCAATCAGAATGGATGAAAGTTGTGTTTCTGTGATGTTAAACGCATTGCAAATGATGCATATTTCATGTTGTCTTAACCCTTAAATGCATGAATAATAGGGGTGTAACGGTTCTCAAAATTCACGGTTCGGTTCGATACGATACACTTGTGTCACGGTTCGGTTCGGTACGATTCGGTACGTTTCCGATACAGCAAAAAGAAAGAAATGCCAGAGAAATTTCCTTGATTTAATCTTTTTAATTATATTTTTATTAAAACTAACATCATAAAGTATGATATTTTTTAACTTTGAGCAATGATGGAGCTATACTTGACTTTTCTTAGGAGCTTATAAAACAAAACAGCTCCTTGGACAAAATTAAATGTAATATTGTAGTAGTTATAAACAAAGGTTTATTTTAGTTCAGATTAACATTTGAGGGCAGCAATTGTATTCATAATGTCAAAATAAAACCGACGTGATGTTACTTGAAAGCATTATAGCCTACTATTCCTGCCAAACTTCCATGGTTACAGTTAGTAGTGTTACTACAGTAAACCCATGGTGAATGTTGCTGATCTGTGGACACTGGATAGTTCATTCATGGCACAATGTTTCTTCCTGGTTTCCACGTCAGCGCTGTTTGATCCGTTAATAACGGAGAAATGCGAATGTTTCTCACTAGATCTTGCAGCGATGTTATTACTTCAGTGGCGAATTCAAATGCTTTCTTTACTGGATTTGGCTGTGTAGTAACAGTGCTGATGATTAAGATCGGCTCGCGCTGTATTTGTCCAAACTGATAAACGGTCCTTCAACCACACAATAACGAGGGGTTTCGTTCCGCTTACATTACATTTGCCATTTGATGTTGGGCAATGTTGTGGTCACGCACATTATGAGCGCGCTTGCCACGCGTGACGCGCCTTCATTTGAAATAACGAAATTTTGGTCGGCAGGAAAAATGGTCCAACGAACCGTTCGGTTCAAAAATGCGTACCGAAAACCGAACCGAAAGCCTCGTACCGAACGGTTCAATACGAATACGTGTATCGTTACACCCCTAATGAATAATCATCATTATTATGTATTCGGGTCTTCAGCGACCCAGGTCTATAATCTAACACATATGGCTCTTTAACTGCCACGTTAGTATAAATAAAACTCTCTTGATATTTTAAAAACAATTACAAAAGAATAAAATAAAGCAGATTTTGTTACCTTTTGGAACTCGGAAGGGTTGATGCTTTTTACCATTGTCATCGACAGTCCATCACCATCTCAACCATATTCTTGATCGCTTTCAAAGTCTTCAAAACCAATATTTTGATCTCTGACAGTTCTTCACCAGATCCACCATCAAGACAGTGACACTAATATCTGATTGCGTACAGTATTTGCTCTGCAATAAATCGCAGAGCCATTTCAAGTTTTGCTGATTTATGTTTTTGTTTTATGCCTGCGGTAATTATGAGTGAAACATCACATCATTGTGTATCAGAGATTCAAATATTATATTGTTGCACAAAAAAAGGTTACACAAGGACACTGTAAAATAAAGTGTTACTGAACAAATATATATACTTATACTATTACATACCTCGGGTCACTAGCGACCCTAATTTGTAATATTGTTTATAATGAATACAATGATTGAGGAATACTTCAAATAAAGAGTGAATGAAGGAGAGGGTAGTAAATGACGTCCTCCTGGGTCGCTAAAGACCTGAGGCGTTTTAGAGTTAATTAACATTTACCGCATGAAATGATACAGAGAACTGATGTTTCTATCATCTAAGGGCAATTTCACACCTATAGATCGCTTGTTTTGCTCCTATAGATCGCTTGTTTGTTTTCTTGGTTCAGTTCGCTTTCATAAGGCAACCTGTGTTGCCAAAATGTGTTAATGCAAGACACATGCGAGTACAACTGTCCTCTTATTGGTCAGAATTTCCTCTGCGTCATCCATCAAGATGATTGACTGGTTCGCTCCATGAGCTTTTTTTAACTGTGATAGCTAATGTGCTCACTCACAGAATCAGACACTACTGCTTTTTATATAGCATATTTTCTGTATGAATAATAATACCATTTGGTCCGTTGGGTCGGATTGCTTTCACACCTCAAGCGTACTTAAGTTCGTTTGCAATCGGGCCGAGACCGGCACGTTCAGGCAATCTTGGAGCGATTGTTTTGGTGCTGATCCGAGTGCAATAGCCTTGTTCACGTATGGCTAAACGAACCGAACCAAGGGAGAAAACGCACCAGGTTCCAGAACAAACGCACCCTAATGGTCCTTGCGCACTGAGTCCGAAATTCGTGTCCAAAATTTTTGCACGTTAAAAAATAAAAACCTCATGTTTTGTCAATCACGCTGACTCTGAAACTTTCGTCCGTCATAAAAAAATTCGGATCAGGTTCGATTTTCTGCGTTTTTCGCATCCGTAGCAAGCATTTTGAATGGTGTTTTGATCATTCAGAGCCATCGAATCACAAATACGAAAAAACGTATTCGGAAATTTCCGGACTCAGTGTGCAAGGACCTTAACTCTTGTCCACATCACTGAGTTTTTATTTTTTATTTTTTTGTCCGTTATTCATTTTGTGAGTCGTCTGTTTCAGGTCGTTCCAGCCCATCTTTAGAGCACTCGAGGAAGACCCCGACCAAGGAGCATGCGGTGCAGACGGCCCCGGTCCCTCCCCCTGCAGTCTCCACCAGTTCAGGGAGTCAGAGGAGCTCTGGACCCGCCCGACCGGCCCTCAACACACAGAAATCTGCCGAAAACCAGGAGCAAAAAGGTGAGAATCAGAGCTGGAAATTTATGTACAGATATCGTTGAATTGTGTATTGTAATTGTGATATCTTTTGTTCATCTACAGCGTCTGATGTCCAGAAGATTCCTCGGCCAGAGTCAGACTCAAACAGGCCTGATAATAAAGACCCAATCAAACGCCAGTCTGGCGGTGAGTCACTTTAAAACATCTCTTCCACATTTGCATATAGAGTACTGTCCAAAAGTGATGTCCGGCATAGGAAAATGTACACCTTCACCTAGTGTTGTCAAAATATTCGGTACTTCGGTACCAAGTCGGTACTAAAAAATTTTAAACGTCACGGTACCAAGTCCCGGTGGTACCGAGTACCCAGTCAAACCCGGTTCTGGATGCGCATGCATGCACGAAGGGAGTGAAGTTGCGTCCTCTTCATGAAAACGCTGAGACATGGCGACCGGCGGCGCTGCTGATGTGGTGTCTGTGTATTAAACTGCAAAACGACTATTTAAATATGAACCCTTCATGTTCTGCTTGTCTCTGTGTGAATGAACGGCGCAGACGCGCGGTTTCATTAAACGTTACCTCTCACACACACACATACACACTAGCCGCGTTTCCACTGCCGGGCCAGGGCCAAGGCGTGCTAGTGCGTGCCAGGGCCAGTAGCGTTTCCACTGTCACTTCCGGGGCTTGAGCGGGGCTTACTCGGGGCCAACGGCCAGGATTTCTGGCCTGTCGAATACCTTGGGCCAAAGCGGGCCAGCTCGGGCTAGAGGCGTGCTCAAGGTAAAAGGCGGAGTTTATCAGTGTAATGGAACGTTATGATCTGAAGCAAGATGCACATTTCACTTTTTTATATCGTGCAAAATAATCGCTGCTCGAAATGGAGAATCGCCTGTACTGTCTGTCGAAGATGCCAAAGCTCTTCTGAGCATTTGGGCAGAAGAAAGGGTATTTGACGGCGTGTGAAGAGACGAGGACGTTATACATCGATGCTGAACTTTCTAAGCTAAGCATTCAGCGAGCAACGCGTCAAGTTAAAGAAAAAAAGAAAAAAGTCGCGGGCGCAGTATTGTACAAGGCGATTAAAACGCAGAATGGACAAAGCGGAGCTCAGAGAAGGAACTTTCCATGGTTCGACTTGATGGACGGTGTGCTGGGTTAGTGGCGACTCGCGAGACAAGTCAGGACGCTATTGCAGGCTGCAGCCACGGCCGGTGAGTTAATATACATGCTATCTTCCTAACTTAAAAAATAAATAAATTCATAATACCGGCTGAAATGGGTTGGGTTTTATGACGTTTTGATCCAGAAAGGCGTGTTAGGGGCGGGGTTTAGGGCAGCGCTGCTGGGCTACTGGCCCGGCAGTGGAAACGCAAGCCCGGTGCTTAAGGCCCGAGGCCACTGGCTCGGCTCGGCTCGCTGTTAGCTCTGGCCCGGCCCTAGCCCGGCAGTGGAAACGCGGCTACTGAAGCACAAGTGACGCTCGCGCTGTTTTCAGTCTCTGCTGCCTCACGATATGATGACATGATTCATGATTCCATTCATCTCCGAGAGTCACTTCATGAGCATTTTCATTTCATTTGAGAAAAACTATCGTCATATCATACACGCACGGAAACTCAAAGGTCTTCACGGCAACCCGTCAAAATAAAAGTTTGGTTTAACTTAAAGAAATTGACAGAAATAATTATATTAGGCTACTGTACAATAGATTTAACTACGTCTCCATTAATTAAAGATACTACTACTAATAATAATAATGTGTGCATAGAAAGTTGCTTATTTTTCACTTGACTTTTTTTATAAGCAATATTTCTCAATATCATAAATATTTTCGTTTAAACAGCATGTAGCCTTCAATCCTTTCAGAAATGTACCATCATAAATAATAAAGTCATTGAATTGAATTGAATTTAATATATATATATTTTTTCAAATAGTTCAATAAATTATATAAAAAAATTAGTTCAAACTGATTTTGCTGTGGTACCGAAATTGGTACAGAGAACCGTAACATTTTAATGGTATCGGTACCGACTACTGGAATTTTGGTACCGTGACATCCCTACCTTCACCCTTTATTCAAGTATTGTTTAAAAAAAAATGTTTAAAAGATTATCTAAGCATATTTGTGTAGTTGTGCTTGGAGTCAATAGTTTTATCTGTGATGATAACGCAATGAGACATGCCAAATTGTGCGGGCATAATTTTGGGTCAGGCTATCATACAAAGAAATTATGAACTGATTAGCTTGTAGTCAATGTATGCATTTTCCTGTGAGCTTTTTGTTTTTCTATGCATTTTATTTTTTGCATAGTAAAATAAAGCCTTTAGCTGTAGTTTGCCCTTTTTTGCCAAACAATATTTTTCCATCATATTTTGATGGTTTAATTGAACTTGTCCAGAGGAGATATTTGTTTTTAATGACCCTGCAACTCTTTTGACAGCATTTTATATTTGTATTGTATATTTGAATGTACTTCTCTTTTATGAATGCTTTTCTTTTATATTGTTGTATTTCTCTTTAAATTTTTCTTGTTTTTGTGAAGCGCTTTGAGATGTAACTTTTAAAGCCGCTATAGAAAATAAAGTTTTTCATTATTATTACTGTACTTCATCGATCAGGGCCTTAAGCATCATTGTTAGTTTGCATTTTTTGTGAAACTATATTTTTCCCTCATATTTTAATGGTTTATTTGAACTTGGTTGACCACAATTGAACGTTTTTAATGACCCTGCATCACTTTTGGCCACTACTGTACATCATCGCGATCAGGGCCGTAAGCATCATTTGTGTAATGGTTGTTTCTCCCTCCAGGTGGCGCTCCTCCAATGAGAAGGGGGCGGGGCAGTGGTGGCGGAGGGGGCGGTGGCCAGCGTGGGCGGGGCAGATTTAATGGGCGTAGAGACGGACCAATGAAATTTGAGAAGGACTTTGACTTTGAGAGTGCCAACGCCCAATTCAATAAGGAAGAGATCGACCGCGAGTTCCAGAGCAAACTCAAGATTAAAGGTACAGTTACGGAAAACACAAACATGCATCATTAGCTATGTTTCCATCCAAAGTTGCGAATTTATGTGCAAAATTGGAATATCGCATAAAACATTTGTAAATAAAGCACGGTTTCATCCAGTGAGTCAAAGAGAACAAAATCATCACTTCCTTGTAAGAAAAAAGGAATGCAATAGGCGAAGCCACTGTATATAATAAAGGCCTATATAATCCTCAGAGCGCACAGACGAAACACAATAAACGTTAACTTGCTTTCGGAGGCACATGCCTGGGAACGCAGTCGTTTAAGACCGTTCTGGAAGGTAATTATACTGAACCACTTTGATGACAGAACAACCGAAACAGCATTTCAGATGCTGTGCAACGAGATCAGTCCTCTGTTTGGTCCAGTAATGCCATCTTATTTATCCGGTAAATGTGTTTCCATCATAGTTTATGCTCATGATTAAAAAAAATGTATGCAATATCCCAAAATGCGCATAAAAATAGGTGGATGAAATCATAGCTATTGTGCTTTTTGAGGGTTTTAAACAAAATATAATATTAGGGGTGGCACGGTTAAAAAAAAACCACGGTTCGGTTTGTATCGCGGTTTAAGGGTCACGGTTTTCGGTTCTCTACGGTTCTTGTTGTTTTTTTTTTTTTTAAATCTTTAACACTCCAGAAATGTACTTCAGCATATGATATATAGCTTAATTATCCACAATACAGTATACAGTATTAAAAAAAAATGTTATATCATGCACAAACTGAATTTGACTTGACTTTAAGCACATTATTGGGACCATCTCCGAGGAAAGCTAGGTGAGATTTTGATACAGCAAGAGAGAAGATATTGATGACATGCTTTTCGATTATTTTGCACAAAAAGGAGAATGTGTATCACTATCTCTACAGGAACTTGTGCATTTTTAGCACACAAAGATTGAAATTAACTTGCATTTATCAAACTGCCAACTTAAGTGTAGAGAGGAACTCTTAAAACTCTGTCTTTTAAATAAGTCAAAATACATGAAACATAATTTACTATAATTAGGCAATAGCAAAGGCCATAATCATAAAGTGAAACATAAGTTCAACCTCAACACAAAAACAGTATCAACAATGCTTCTATTCCCTGAGAGTGAGGATACACTTTTTTTCAATCCAAAATGTTCCCACACACCGGACTTGTACGACGCTGGCGCATCCTCGTTAGCCTTCCTTATCTCTCCCACTTGCCATTTCTACACGTGACATCACGTGACCTGCAGCACCCCATACTCCACCTTTACTGGCTTGTTCGACTTGAACCGGCGCTGCACAGAGCGATCGGTTTATGACATCAAAGAACCGCGAGAGTGATTGAAAAGCATACGGAGCCGTCGCTCTCGCGGTACGTTGATGTGATTCACCGATCGCTCTGTGCAGCGCCGGTTCAAGTCGAACAAGCCTCATATGTATGTCCACACGTCTTATTTTGCGCGAAAAGGAAACACGTTTGAGGTCACATACGGGCACGAGGCTACATTGCGCATGCGTCGAACCGTGAGACACACACGCGAACCGAGACAAGCGAACCGAACGGTTCGGGTGTTTTTTCATGTACCGTGCCACCCCTATATGATATTATAGATTTTTTGTTTATATGCTGAAATACAGGTGAAACTCGAAAAATTAGAATATCGTGCAAAAGTTATAATTTTGATGATTGTGGCTTACAGCTTATGAAAACCCCAAATTCTAAATCTCAGAAAATTAGAATATTACATGAAATCAATAAAAAAGGATTTTAAATACAGAAATGTCAGCACTCTGAAAAGTATAATCATGCATATAGTTATATATACTATATTAGTTTCACCTTTCAACTTGAATTTCTGCAACACACAAACTTTTGCACGATATTCAAGTTTTTCGAGTTTCACCTGTATGTTCTTAACAGGTTTTGTGAGGTTCTCCCTTTTATGTTTTTTTTTTTCATTAGGGAGATTTTAACTGACTGTTTATTGTCAGATGTGAGTTATAATGTTCTCTTTGCGCTGCAGATGAGAAGAGTGAGAAATCGGAGAAGACTCTGAACGGGGAGGAGAAGACGGACTCGGGTGTGGAGACCCAGAACAGTGAAGGCAACGTTGACGAGGAGGATCCACTGGGACCCAACTGTTACTATGACAAATCCAAGTCCTTCTTCGACAACATCTCCTGTGACGACACCAGGTGAGATCTCGGCAATTGAGGATGTACATTAAGCGCTGGGTATTGATGATTTGATTTCAGTTCACAAGCTCTCGATCTGATATCAATTCATTTGGCAATATTTTGGGTTCATGTTTATTTTTTGTATTTGTACTCTATATTAGGGAAGAACTTGATTTCGGACGCAGCATAGATGTTTCAAACAGTAGTACATTAGTCACATGACCTCACTACAATATTTAAGGGCGTTTTCACACCTGAAAGTCCGCACCAAGGTCCGAACCAAAGTTAACGTTTTGATACATTTGATACTTTCAGAAGGGTTTGGTTTCAAATTGCAATTATGCGAGCGCACAAAATAACTTTTCATGACATACTTGCGTCCTGTCGTCATCATCTATGTGGGCTGCATCTTGACATTGATTGGTTTGTAAATGGACGTGCGTCTGATGTCAGCGTGTTGTCAATTCGGCGGGTGTCTCAGTAACTTTGACAACATGAATGAATAGACGCATATTGTTGCAACTATATATATATGTTATTTTTATGGCATAATTACCTGCAGCACCAACTATACCAAGGCTAGTTCAAATTCGCCAAATGAACGTCCTCGTCGTGCGAACATTTTATCGAGTTGACTTATGTCATCAGACCATACTTCAATTAAAAACCTCGTCTCCTCCTCTCCCCATGTGCCACGGCTCATTTCTCCTGCCACCTTCTGTTTTTTTCGTCTATGCGGGAACCACCGGAACTTCCTGTAAAAGGTCTGAAAGTCCGAACCATACAGAAATGCTTTCACACTAGAAACGAACCAAACCTTTGTTCAGTTTGATCCGGACCGAGACTACCTCTTTTCGTCGGACCAAATTTCATCTGTTTGGTTTCACACCTGTAATTTTGGTTTCACACCTGTAATTTTGATTCGGACCAAACTGAAAAGTCCGAAAGTCCGGACCAAACAAGGTAGGTGTGAAAGGGCCCTTATTTAGTATTTAAGTCCCGTTATTTCCTCTGAATTAGTTATTTTGCAGTAGTCCAGTTTTGTGTAAAATGTCTTTAACAGTCTGATCCAACAATGAGTGAAAGATGTTAATTGTTAATGCTTTTTCATGTCACAGGGTGTGAATGCTTTGAGTGATTTAGTCACTATGGATTCAATGTTGTAATTTGTTGTTGTAAAGTTTAAAAATATCTGAATGAATCCTCTGACAAACATGCACTCTTCTGTCTTTTCTAGAAAGGAGAAATCAGGAGGTACTTTTGGAAGGTATCTATTTGAAGTCTTTTTTATATTCATATACATTTAAATGTTTTAACATGCTAACGTATTTATGAAGCCATGCTTATGATTCAGACTACCCAAATTCACATGTTGTCATGCAAGATTATTTATTCAGCTAGAAATTACTGAGTGTGAGCTCTTAAATGTATTTTAAAAATATCTACTTTTACAAACAGTTAAAATCATTTAATTTAATTGGTCAATGTGTTGAAGCCCTGATCAAATGGGCAAATCAAAAATGTCAATTTGTGTTTTCAGGTGGCATGTTAAATGATTAGCCTACTACACATTTTGTTGTGCACTCATACAATAAATCCTGCCTGTTGCAAAATTGTCCTTGCAAATTTGTCTGGATGAGTTGACAATAGTTGCCGAAAGTCTGCATCAGTATTCAGATTTTAGGCAGTCGGAGTTGAAAGATTTCACAGAAAATGTGTGTAATGATGGGCACAGGCTTTTTTTAGCTTCAGACTATGATATCAAAACATATCTGATATATCGAGCCAATTTTAGAACATGTATTGTATTAGTGATTGATGCGTCGCTATTGAAACTGAAGCTGTCCTTTATCTACCAGTGTTGCGATAAAATACAATAATAATACAAAAGTATATGAACAGAACACGCTTAACAAATTAGCCTCAATATTTGACTCATCAGCACAGATAACACAACTGATTGCGCGACTCACCTCTAACTCCCATTGTAATCTGTAGAGTCTATACTGACCGCGTCTACACAAATGCACTTGGCTTGTTTTTACATTTGCGACTCAGCACAGAGTTAATACAACAACTACAATGGTCATCTTCTGCAGAGCCATGTTTGTTTCGTTTGTCACGCGTCTCCTAGCATTGTCTGGTGTGTTTCTGTGTGAGTTTATGTTCAGAACCAGTTGAAAGTCTGGTAGTGTATAGGGGCTTTCGCATCAGGTGGTTATAGGAGCTCAGTTATAGGAACTAGCCATTATTTTACCATAATTCCATTCGCACCGCCAGTATGAACTCTGAAGTGACGTTAGCCGTCTGACAACTATGTAATTTAACAACAACATCTAGAGGATGGAGGACACTGTGAGCGGAGCTGTGTTTTTGTCATGATAATGGAGATGGAATATAGACGTATAGTTATGCGATTGAAAGAGCAAAAAGCAGGGCCAAGAGACGAATCTATGACAACTTGCAGTGCTTCATTTCATCGAGGCTGAGAAAAGAACAACGCCGCAGACAAAGGCAACAGGTAAATGCCGTTAACATTAGCTTTTTATATGTTTATGTCTTATCCGTGTTTTACATGTTCATGGAGTAAGTATATGTAAACTGTGTGTTTACACAACTTTTTAAAAAAGGCTTGTGCCGGTGTTTTGGATGGCACGAGCTCAGCAAATCAACGTAGGAGTAAATTTTGTCCCTCCAAAAGGCGTTCCTATAACTAAAATCCTTCCCAAATCTTGCAGTGCGAAAATAGTTATTGTTATAGGAACTATAAAACTATAAAAATGTTCCTCTGGTGCGAAAGCCCCTTATAGTATAGTCGTTTAGTGTATGATGCTTAGGCCTGATTTCATAGACAGCGCTTAGATTAAGCCAGGATTAAGCCTTAGTTCAAATTTAGGACATCTAAGTAGCTTTTATAAACTTGCCTTAGAAAAAAACATTACTTGTGTGCATCTTGAGACAAAACAACAGCACTGACATATTTTAAGATATGTCAGTGCAAGTTTGCTTTCAGTTAAAACAGCTGAAATATACATTTTAGTCGGGCTATCTTAAGCCTTGTTTGTGAAACCGAGGGTTAGTGTTTTAAATCTGTTCAGATGTGAAGTTGTGTAGTCTATCCCAGCGTTAAGATGAATGTTGTGTAAACATGTTGCAGATTATACAGGCCGCCTGCCAAAGGAGGATTTTTTTGACACTAGGCCCTATTTTAAGCTCATGGTCTAAAGCACACGCCGCAAGTGCACTCAGGGCGTCCGAATCCACTGTTGCTAGTTTAACGATGGGAAAAATGGTCTGTGCTCCCGGCGCATGGTCTAAAAGGGTTGTCTCTATTCTCTTAATGAGTAATGGGTGTGTTTTGTCTCTATTCTCTTAATGAGTAATGGGTGTGTTTTGTCTCTATTCTCTTAATGAGTAATGGGTGTGTTTTGTCTCTATTCTCTTAATGAGTAATGGGTGTGTTTTGTCTCTATTCTCTTAATGAGTAATGGGTGTGTTTTGTCTCTATTCTCTTAATGAGTAATGGGTGTGTTTTGTCTCTATTCTCTTAATGAGTAATGGGTGTGTTTTGTCTCTATTCTCTTAATGAGTAATGGGTGTGTTTTGTCTCTATTCTCTTAATGAGTAATGGGTGTGTTTTGGGCGTAACGTGCAATAAACCAATCAGAGTCTCATCTCCCATTCCTTTTAAAAGCCAGTTGCGCTCGCGCCATGGCGGATTCGCTATTTACATAGAGGAATTTGCAAGCGGAAAAACTGAACGGATCTGCTCGTGCGTGAGGTTAAAGCGTCTAAGCAGACCATCTATGGGACATAGTGTACGCGCGTTCGGGACTCGCCTATAGGCGCATCTTACTAACGCACACTTTAAATAACAAAAGAAATACTGTGCCACTGAGTTTAGATCAGGTTCAGTTGGTCAATGGCTCAGTCTATTTCAGTTCCTCTAAATAGCAACGCGCCAACAATGCGCCTTAACACACACCTGGTTTTCAGACCAGCAGCCCATGGGCGCACAGATGGGCGCAAATTAATTTTCTATTTAAAGAACGTGGCGCAGGACGTGAAAATGAAAACTGCGTCAGGCTGAGACTAGCAAGAAGCACTTGCGTCGCGCCTGGCGCTGCATTGCGCCGGCGTATGATAGGGCACACTGTGTTGAATTGCATTCTGATGTGTTTTTCATTCCTTCTCTTCAGGGAACGGAGGCAGACCTGGGCGGAGGAGAGGAGGATGAACGCGGAGACGTTCGGTATTCCACTGCGTCACAACCGCGGGCGCGGGGGTTTCCGTGGCAGAGGCGGCGGCATGGGCTTCCGTGGGGGTCGCGGGCGCGCGGCTAGCAGGGGCTCGTTCATGCCCTCCCGCGGGGGCGGAGGCGGCTTCAGGGGCGGCTATAGAGGCAGCAGAGGAGGACGGGAGTTCGCAGACTTTGAGTACAGGGTTAGTACTTCCTCTTGTACCCCAGTTATGGACCAAACATAAATTTTAGAGATGCACGATGCTTTGTACAGTGTTATTTTGAACTTAAAAACACTGTTGGCCATTGAAATAAAGCAAAATTTAAATATTAGATGGAAAAAAAATTGCCTTGGCAACTAACTGAAATAAGTTTAAGTTAAAGTACAAAAACTGAGGTAAACCTTTTCACAATATTCTAATTTTGAATTTGGGGTTTTCATAAGCTGCAAGCCATAATCATCAAAATAATAACAAACAAAGGCTTGAAATATCTCACAAGTCTATATAATATATTAGTTTCACCTTTTAAGTTGAATTACTGAAATAAATGAACTTTTGCACAATATTCAAATTTTGAGTTTCGCCTGTATATAAGTCACGGGTTAAGGTTAGGTTTAGAATAACTCAGTTATTGCCATAATAAGTACATAGTATGTGAATGCAGAAGAGGACTGTAAAATAAAGTGCTTACCTATCGTGCTTTTCTAATGTTTGTCTTTGTTCTGTTTTTCTCACGTTTGTTTCAGAAGGAGAACAAAGTGTCGGCGTAGTCCATCATGAAGACCACATCATCCGAACAGCCAAGAATCTCCGATCATCACGTCTAGATTAACGCTTTGGTTTCGACTCCTGACTAACAGGAAGGCCTCTGTTAAACACCAGCGCAGGGACGCCTGCCTTCAGCTGGACGCGCAGCTTTGAGTTCTTCTCCTTTCTTCCTTTTTTAGAAAAGAAAAAAAACATTTGATGATCTTCTGATCTGCGTTCGATATGTTCGGAGGGGAGAGTTTGTGTACAAAATGCCGTAACTTCCATTGAATGATGATGATGATGATGATGATTATTATTATCTGGTATTTTTGCATCAACCTTTAGTTCCTTTGGTAATAAACAGAGGATGGTATTTGATATTATTCTGTTAGGTGTACAGAACCCCGCTGATACTGTGAGCGCTCCTCAGTCACATAGCTTTATTATGTTATGGTTTCCTCTTATTTTTGGATCTGTTTCTGTCTTTTGAAGCAGCAAACCCCAGTGTCGAGTGTGTGTGGAGTGTGTGTCCGAGCTCCGCCACCTAAACAAAATAAACTTTCAGTTCACCTCGACGGCCGCTGGATTCATGCTCATCCGTCTGTTGCTTTGCTTCAGTTAATAGATTGGCATGGTTTCTAGTCCTAGGTTTTGTAATCATTTTTTTAGTTCACTAGCTGGATAATCTGGTCAAGCCTTTGGTTATTTTGGTGCATTCTTCCCTGTTAACATTGTCTAGCAGAAGGTCAATTCACAAAAACTGGTTTATGATTGAATGTATCGATGAATTCAACTCTTTCTTTTAAACGATTTTGTCCTGAAGTCCTCTCTAAGCAGGGTCACGTTCTCCCTGCCGGATCACACTGCTGTTCCTGTCTTCAAAGTGTATTTTTAATATTTGAGTGCCAGTTATTCTTGCCTTTTGATGTCAATTATGTACATTTCCAAGAGGGCTTTTTGATATAAACTCAACTTAAACCTCTTTAAAGACGAGCCCCATCACCGTTTAATGGCGAGATCTTCTGGAAAGATCCTGTAACCCTTTAAGAATCCGATTGGATGTTTTGAAATTGCGTTCATGTTCTCTTTAAAGACAATACGGCACACATGATGCGAAGGCTAAATTCGACGTCATTTCATAAAGCTCTTATACCAGATGAATCTCGTCTCAGAACGATGATTGATTGGATGATTTGTGGAGGGATATTTTAGGTGAACATGTTCGTCAATCGGGACGTTCCCATGGACAGTATTCCAGCAACTTATAGACGAGATAAAACGACTGATGCATTGTGTAAAAACATTTACGACATGTTTCCATGCTCTGTCTGACAAGGCGCGAGTTTCACCTGAAATAAGTGTCCATAATAAGTCCATAAACCCCTCTATTGTGAATAGTTCTGTTTCCTGTTTGATACACTTGTATGTTAATGTGTTATTTCAGGTACCAGCTGTTTAATGCTCTGTTAATGGAGTGAAGTTTGTTTACCCGGCGATCTCGTCTGTCTCTGAATGTCACTGAAGCACTAGTTCCTGCACTGTTAGATGGGAGGTCATTGTTGTTTTTGGTGTGCTTCATATTATTAATTTGTGTTTCAGAGACCCAAAGACCGAATTACGGATAACATTTGGAGGAGAAGTGCTCTCTCTCAGCTGGTTCTGCATTATTTTCTCATGTCTGTCCCCAGAGTTTGCCGTCTCTACTTGTATTAGCTATAAACCGCTCCCTTTAAAAGCACTACGAGTCGCAGAGATGTCCCGCGGGCAGCTAGTGAAACCAGGGCATGATGGGAAACCTCTGAGTGAACCACAGATATTGGTGCTGAGATGTGAAACGAATCCTCAGGCCTGATATCGCCATGAAGTCGATCGAACCTCGTACGAGAGTTTAAACTGGACAGCCGTGCAGAAGCGTGATGTGATTATTGTGGTCAGTCCTCTGGAGGAATATGATTGGCAAGTTTATTCTTTTGTTTCTGTTTTCCTGAATTAAAGCAGTTGTACATGGTGTGCTCGTAGAGGGCTTCAGACGGGGCAAACTAAGGTTTTTAATCAACAAGAGAAATAAAGAAATAGTTGTTCAGTATCCTGTCCGTGTGTGTGTGTGTGTCCTTGTTTTTTATCAATAAACATTTCTGCAAACAATAACCAATAGTCGAATGTGCAATAATAAGCATTTTTATTGTTAGATTTTTTTTAACCCTTGTGCATCCATTTAAAAAAAAAAGTTACACATGGTTCATAGTGGACAAAAATGTCTGTCAAAAAACTGTCATACAATTTTGAAGCTTAAGAGTACAAACTTAAGTTTGGTCTCATTTTAAAGAAGACCTTTGGCAGATTATTGTTGAAGTAAAAAAAGTTAAAAAAATTAAACTATTTTATATGAAAAATATGTATTTTATAGAAACATTTTATGAACTCTAAAACTGCTATAAAATCTAAACCTAAACAACTTGTGGTCCAAATTTGAGGTTGATATCTCTAAAATTAAAATATAATATAAAATGAGCTTTCAGTAAGATTTTGTTTGGGCGCAGTCCCAAATTTTCCCCATTAGATGCCAGCAAAGCTCCACTGGTGTACAGTGTTTGGTTTGTGATTTGCAGTAGTTTTTCTCTCCAATAGAAGCACACAACCACACTCTGACATCCTTACCAACACACACACCCACACAATTATGCCTGCATAATTTATCCAATTGGCTCTATAATATGCAGAAAACAGGAATAAAGCAAGAATTCAATTTTGAAACATTGCCAACAGAATAAAAGCCTCTTAACAAAGATTGCATCATTTTATAGTTAAATGGCCTGAGATTAAAAATCGCTTTTTTGTCCAAAAGGTCCTAAGGGGAACTATTTTATGTACCTAGTGCTTTAAGGAAATGGGGGTTAAATAGTAAAATTCCAATAAAAATACACACCTGTTCCAAAATTGGCATTAACACTGGCAAAATATATATATATAAAAAAAACTGAAAGAGACAAAAAAATTCCATAAGGATTCACAAGGGTTAATGTTCTTTTAAAAAATATATTTAAATGAAATACCCTGATTCAAAAACAATTGCTGAGGGGTCAAATATGTTGGTTCACATATTTTAAGATTGCCTATATATTGGCTTTTATTTTATTTTTTAGCCTATGCTAAATGTGCAGTATAATTGCTAATCTATCTATTTGTAAGGCCTTCCCAATCGGTCCAATGACAGTTTCCGATAAGCAAGAAGGTTTCTGCACGTTACTGTCTTTTCAGTGTGGCAAAGTAATTTTTTCCTCTTTGTTTCATCTGACTCCAAAAATGAAAAAGGTTTAATTGATGTTTGTTAATCATTTAATGTAGGTGAATCTTTGATTGATCTATTTAACTATTTATTGAAATTACGTTCATCCAGATTCCTAACGCTTTGAGTCTTGCACCGGCCGGGTTGATCTTGTAGATGATTAAAACAAAAGAATTGACCCTTCGCTAAGCCACGCCCGAAAACCGCCACTGGCCAATCGTGGCTTAGCAACCGTAACTAGGCGCGGGAGGTCTGTCAAGCTTTCGAGCGAGGGAAACTTGGGCGGAGTGATAACCGCAGCACCTGAGACGCGCTCTCTGCTCCTCACCACGGCGCGTCTCAGGTGCTGCGGTTATCACTCCGCCCAAGTAGCAGTGCTTCGCCTTCAGAGAATATAGTTCCCAGTATTTATACGGTTAAAATATGTCTGTGTCTCATGTGACTTTGTTTTTTGTGCACTCTATGACTATACAAATCACAACATGGAAATAGGAAAATGTTTGCGCTATTTTGTCACTTATTTGGCTTGTATGGTATACTTTTAACTGCTGCATTCAATATTAAATGTGTAACTTCAGATGCACATTCTTCAATATCTCCCTGCATTTAAATCGACTCTGCTGTAATACAACAAATTTCTTTACATTTTTCCCAATCAGCTTTATTAAACTCCCACTTCTTGTGATTAGGCCTTTCTTGAAGATCTATTTCAACATTTGTAGAGCAAAGTATTTGAAAATGATCACTCCCTATAGTTGTACTTTCCTTTACCTTCCATTCACAAGAGTTTGCCATATTATTAGAAACAAGAGTTAGATCAATACAAGACAATTTGTTAGAACGTATGTCAATTCTTGTGCCATTTCCATTATTTAAACAAACTAGTTGTCTAACATCCATCAATTCTTCCACTGCTTCACCATTACTATCAGTATGTTTACTTCCCCACAGACTATTATGTGAATTGAAGTCTCCGCACCATATTTCTTTCCCATTTCTCTGTCCCCTTATTATTTCCTCTAAGGTTTCTGGATTTAATGATTTACAAGGGTTATATACGTTGATTACTACTAATTGCCCATCTGATTTATAAATTTCAATAATTACACATTCTATTTCTGTTGCAGTTTCTATTCTTCTAAATGGTATCCCATCCCTTACAAATGTTGCACATCCTCCACCCTGACTTTCACCTCTATCAAACCTAACAGACTCATAACCAGGTAAATTAAAGTCAAGGTGAGGCTGTAGCCAAGTCTCTTGAATGCAAATAATATCAGGTCTATCTTCAGACTCTACTACAAACTGTTTAAACTCTTGACCATTTGCAATCAGACTCCTAGCATTCCATTGCAAAAGATGGAACACCATTATAAGCTCAAATAACACTCTGAGACCCTCCATCATTGTTTGCACTTAGCATACTATGTATATCTTCAGCTTTTAAATCTCGGATGCCTAAAAACTCCTCTGCAGCTTCTACCACTGTCTTGATCCTGTCACTTTTCCTTTCTTGTCGTGTGGCAACATTCACAACTTTACATATAAAAGCTACAAAACTCTTCTTTTCTACCATCAAGGTATTCTCCTCCACTATACACTTATGCCTACATGCTTGCTGTGTGTTTACTGGTGTTATGTCTACTGGTACTGGCTGAATTCTCCTTATACCTGACCTCTGGGGAAGGCCTACTCCATGCATTGCGCTTTCATTCATGTTTTCATGACACACTATTGGTCTATTTTCCTTGCTTTCATAAGTGCCCATGCTTTTTAAAGCCTCTGCATATGACACCTTATTCACAACCTTGTACCTCTGTACTTCTTTAGCTTGTTTCTGGACCACGCATCCGGCATATGCAGCGCTATGCTCACCTCCACAATTGCAGCATTTTAGCTTGGTATCCTTATTACATTTGCCATATTCATGTTCTCCTCCACATTTCGCACATCTTTGTCTCCATTTACATTGTTGTGCTACATGTCCTATTCTCTGACACTTAAAGCACCTTAACGGTTGGGGAATATACTCCCTGACTTTGTAGTTTATCCATCCCATTTGAACTTCACCAGGCAAAGATTTTTCAAAAACAAGCAGTACAGATAAACTGTCAGATTTAACACCACCTTTATTAGTTTGAAGTCTTTTGACCTCTAGTACTTTCCCACCTCTTATCTCACTCTTCACATCCTCCACGGACATTTCCAGAGGAACATTTGAAATCACTCCTCTTAACTTTGCTGCCATTCCTGGTACATGCACTTTAATCTTTCCACCACCAAGGTTACTCATTTTCAAAATCATTTCCTGCTGCTTCTTATTTACTGCTGAAATTAGCATTCTTCTGTTATTCAATAATTTAGCATATTTAATTTTTCCCATATCCTTCTCAATTGCTTTGGTCACCTGAACTGGATGAAAGTGACCTTTATCATTACTAAGCGTAATAATAACTTTCCATTCTTCCTGCTTCTCATCATCAGGCCTACTAACGTTACTCCCACTAGGTTTAGCCTTTATCTTTTTATTAACTTGTCTTGTAGTACTTTCTCCTCCACTACTTGCTTCAGACCAAGATTCTTTCCTTGCCTTTTTAGTTTGGCTGATATCCATATCTGAATACAACCCATTGTCGTCACCATCTGAACTATAGCCCATTGCTACACTCATGATACAGTTCGAATGCAATCTGCCTTCGGTCCGTCCAAACTATCGTCATACGTCACTTCCGGACTCACCTGCTGCTAGCTCTGTGTGATAGGCCCAATCCCAAATAGCACACTTCATGTGCACAATGGCTGCCGCGTGCGCGTGTCCGTTAAGTCCGTGAGACCGTAGTGTGTCCCATTTGTCATTTTTAGATCTCAGAAGGGTGCTCGCGAGCGCCCCGTGTGGTCGATTTGCGCCCTTGATGCGCACTTTTGCCAAGCCCGTGCTGATGTAGCCTGACTACGTCAGACTTCCTACTTCCGCTAATTTCATTTCGCTCCTGTAGTCAGTCTGAGATAGCAGCCTATCTTTCTGTTTTCCACCGGCCTGAAAACAGCCGGGCCAATCAACGAACAGAGGGCGGGCTGAAAGCCGTGACGTAGTCGGTAAGCGCCGTGTTTAAGATTAGGTCAGGGAAATCGAAAACGACCGCTGATATGGAGACGCGGATGCAATTCGCTCTGTTGTGGAGAATATTCCCGGCATTAGCAAACTGAAGCCGGAACATGAAGAGTGTGTATTAAACATTTTGAATGGAGGTGATGTTGTGGCCCTACTCCCTTTGGGAAAAGTTTAATTTATCAACTATTACCGATGGTCAGCGAGAAACTGGGGAGCCTTTTGACAGGTCAGTGTCTCTTTTCTTTTCCAGGTCTTAAATACCGTAAAACTTCAAATAATAGCCCAGGCTTTTATTTGCCCAAATCGTCGAACTGCACCGGCTTGTACTTGAGATAGGCGTCTAACTTATATGAGACAGGCCTTTATAGTTGAGATGTTGTTCATTGAGATGTTGTTCCTAGAGTCTATAATCTCTAAAAATCTCCAAATGCTCCACGTGAAACCGCGGTCTTCCGACCTCTTACTATCTTGTCGATTGATTTTTATGAATATGCGCTAGGGAGAGAGAGCAAGACAGCGCTCGTGTTGTTTGTAGACGTGGGAGTGCGCGCGCGCGGCCGGGGCTCTCTCTCTCTCTCTCTCTCTGCTCGTTTGTGCATATTCATTCTATTGTGTCATTGTGTCATTCTATTACATCCATGTAATAGCCATGTTCACTCGGGTATTTCGCTCGCATCATCAAGTGTTTACAGTGGAAGTTCGATCATAGATTTGAGTTCGATGCATGATGTCTGTGGTTCGATGGCTGTGTCGGCGCTTAACATACGTCATAAACAAACTTATCTGATTGGCTTACGGGTAACCAATGATTTTAAACTTCAGTACGCGCCCCCTAGCGAGAGAGAAAACACTTCTCTATTATGCTATCCCAGACTCTGTGTACGAAGCAAAGTGAAGTAGCAGAGTCTGGTATTACCAGGCTAGTGCTGATGCGGACTCCACAGCAGACTTCTTCCCGACATTCAAAGCGGCATTACGTTACGAAAGTGCGGACTCAGAGGAAGACCGCGAGTGCTTAGGGTTCCATTTGGGACAGGGCCTTAGCAGCTCTCTTTATTTGTTATTTTTTTTAAAACGTTTTCTCGTTCTTGTTCCTCACATGTAACATCACTCAACAGGCAAGGCTATACTGCCACCTTGTGGTTACTCAATAGAATGCCTATCGTTACATTAACTAGAAGCGAACTTTTACACCTGTTAACAGTAACTTATTCAAGTCAAGTCTAAAGTCAATTAAAGGCTTTAAATGACGTAGTTCACATTTCTCAAAACTCTAATGTCAAGAACATACTCGCTCACACTACAGGAGCCTCGCTCACTCTACAGGAGTTTTAAAATCCTAACCGATTTTGAAATCTGGTTGCAGCTCACACTTAAGGAGAATCTTTGCAGATTTTCTTACCTCAAATCTTAAACATGCTCACACTACAAGATTTGAAAATCGTGGCGCATCACACACTACACAATGTTATTAAGATTCGTGCCAGAGAAAGCGCCTCACGTGATCTCACGCAACAGATCGGAAGCGGAAAGGTGGATGTAAACAAAATATCTGTCCTTCATATCAAGTCATATTCGTGAAAAGGTTGCCGTGTGACTAAGGAAAGCGAAATCTTTAAAAAAAAAAAAAATCATCCTTTTAATAAGGATATTTCTAATGAATGGCGTCAGCTCTGTTCAATACAATGTATCTATCAATGTATTAATTGTATCTTAATTTTAAACAATGTTTCATCAAACAATTGCCTGGATTTAAAAAAATAAGAAGTAAATATAGCAGACGATAGATAATCATGAAACGGAGCGAGCGGATTAATGCACAGGCTTGCGTAGGCAGCCTAGGGGCCCCACATTTGTAGTAGGCTACATTCTTATTTTTTTGTGCTAAATAAAATTGTAAAAGTTGTACATTATAATTACACTAATTAAAAGCATTTCTACTTCAGTAGTACTTCAGTGCACTTTAAAAAGTATACTAAATACCACCAATTGATCCATAAATTGATTTGTAGTGCATTGAAATAAAGTATACTACCACAAAAATATACAAAGGAGTTTTATTACTGTATTTCTTAAAAGTGTGCTTTGAATGCTTGAAATTAGTTAAATCTTATACTTTTATATAGTAATCCTAATTAAATCCTTTAATTAAATTGACTTATTCAAAATATAGTACTATTGTATGCTACTAGTTATAAGTACATTTTGCCAACTTTGGTACTTAAGTACACTAATATAAATGCACTGATTAGCACTAACACTTAAAGGTGCATTGCGCAACTTTTCATGTTAAAAATACCTGTTTTTCTATCCTATACATGCTTAAAGAACTGCCTGATGGGCTGAATGAGCCCTTCTCTGCGCACTGAGATTGCCTCTATAATCCTGTACAGTAAAATATATAAGAGGGAATCGGGCTCGAATTTGAGACTGGGCGTGACGTCATGCGCGTTCACGCTCACCTGGCTATGTCTGGCAGGTTTCAAACCGCTGATTTGAGGTTTGTGTATTCGCCGCAATTCTCCGTATCAGCGAAGACAACTCGAGCGACAAAACTTTAGTCAACTTTCGACAAAAGTAGAAGATGGATTCAAAGAGACCGGCTTGTAGTTCATTCCAAATGCAGTTTCGCTTGTCGCAAGAGGGGGCATAGTTCTGCAAAGACTTGTGCAATGCACCTTTAAATTGATTTTAAGCGTAGTCAAAGTAAAGCAAATATACATTTGTATATATATATATATATATATATATATATTAGGGCTGTCAAATGATTAATCGTGATTAATCACATCCAAAATAAAAGGTTTTTTTTACATAATATATGTGGGGGCACTGTGTATAATTATTTTATATAAATACACACACATGCTTGTATATATTTAAGAAATATTTTCATGTATATACTGTATATAGATTTATATATAATTTATATTATATATAAATATAAATATTTTATACATAAATAATATTTTTTTCTTAAATATACATGCATGTGTGTTTATTTATATATATACAAAATAATTATACACAGTGCGCCCACATATATTATGTAAAAAAAACTTTTATTTTGGATCTGATTAATCACGATTAATCATTTGACAGCCCTAATATATATATATATATATATATGTGTGTGTGTGTATACCTGTGCTGCATAGTTTTATCTTCAAGTTATATTGTTTTAGGGCACTTGGGACTTGTGTGCTTTTGTTCCCCCCTCCCCCATAAGGTCCGTTTTAAATTGTGTGGTGTGTGAAGGGATTGTAATTGTACGTCACAATTATTTTTTAAACAAACTTTCTTCAAAATATCTTCCTTTGTTTTCAACAGAACAACGAAATTGATATAGGTTTGGAATAACCTGAGGGTGAGTAAATTATGACAGAAATTTTAACTTTTCACAACTATCACTTTAGTATGCTGTTGTAATAACGAGCAGTTCAGGGTTCTCCTAACACAAATGACCTTCCTGGAGCTCCATCTAGTGGAATGGCAGAAATAGTAGAGTAGGCCTACTTTCGGTTTGTCCACCCATCAGATCAAACCAGGGGCGGACATATTTTGCTACATATTTTAAGCAATATATTGACATTTTAGAATTCATTTGGCATTTTAACCTGTTTCAAAGACAGTTGCAGAGCTTATAAGAAATATGATGTCAGTTTACATGCCATCTTGGCATTTTAATTCTACTAAATTAGGCTATTTTAACTTAATGACAAAAGAGAAGCAAAGCTCTATGCAATACATAAGATACATAGTATTTGTATCAACTTGGTGAGCTTGTTTTACATTTGTTCTCGGTATGATGATATATTGTATATTGACTAAACTGCATACGAAAACGCGTCAGTGCAGCAAAATGGCCGGCAGAGGTCAGTAATGAACCGAGTCACTAAAAGATCCGAACCACAACCACACAGAAGAAACGAGTCGCTCTGATGGAGACTGTTGTTGATCACATAATATAATGTTGATATTCATCGATTTGTTGCTCAAGGTTTGGGATTTCTGAAGCGGTTTCTCATCTGCAGAAGCTCATTGGAGCTGAATATATCCGTTTGAGGCGCTTAGATGCTTTGAGTTTTCGAGCCCGTGAAAATGTCTGTTGTTTTTGTTCCGAAACGGCAGCGCGGAAAAGCGCAAATCAACCAGGAGACAATTCAAAGAGTGAGTAAACATTTGAACTCAGTGCTTAATTCTTTCACTCACACACACACACACACACACACACACACACACACACACACACACACACACAGTTCTGTTATTTAAGAGAGAAACAGCCGCTTTCTATAAACGACCTCAGCCATATAAGTTACCGGTATGTTTTCAGGACTCACGGAAATGACGAACCGTACTGGAGAACTAACGTTACGTCATTTATGCGGGTCTCGTATGTGGTGTTGTGTGTTTTTGGTAACTTACGGAGATGCAGATATTGGCTAAATTCAATATAAAGATTGTAGATCCAGTCAGTTTCTTTCTTTCATCGGAGCTGCTCTCGTCAGTTGTCCGTTATGCGCGTTCACGCAGGTTTAGTTAAAAACATGTTCAGTTAAAAACATGTTCGTTAAGATTTAAACGTTAAATTCGCGCCACTTCTGTTTGCTGCAGTGTGAACGCGAGAGTTCGAGAGTCGCACCTGTTGTTATAAAATAAGTGTGAACGTTACCAATTTTACATTTACTGATCAAAATTCCAAAGCGAGTAAACTCAAGTGTTTGTATTCAAATCCCTAGTTTTGATTTTGTTCTCTAAAAAACTTTAAATTAACAAGTTAAGCTAGACATGGACTTTTTACTGTTGAGAAGAACACTGCATTTGAAATAGAAAAAGTGAAAATACAAAGTTAAACAAAGAAAGCCTTAATCAGTTAGGCAGATAATATAATAAATGAGCCATTCCACCGAAAGGGTGACATTTGTGTCCCCAGGACATTATATGTATAAAATTGCATGAAAATTAACTCTAAAATACATTTTATTATTAAGCAAAATGTCCTGCACATTAAGCTACCTACAAATTTAAAATGTATATTTAAAAACTTAGATAAAAACTACATAGAACACTAAAAAATTGCATTTTCTGCATGTCCCCACTCTCCATCTCTAAACTTTACAATGAAATATAATGATTCAAATCCTTCAGAAATCTGATTTTTTTTTTTTATTGTTGTGTGACTTTATATCCAATCTGCTTTAAAATGAAAAAAGAAAAAGACATTTTATCTAATATTTGAGATAAAATACACATTTTAGTCATGTCCCCGGGTTACCCTAGTCCTGTTACCCTAACACATTACCCCCTCTGAAAAACTGGGAATATTCCACAAGACCATTTTCAACAGTAAGTTGCATCATCTGGATCTTCTGAAGGCAATGGGAAGACCATAAGTTAGTCTTCTCATTTTAATTTCTGTATATGTGATGAAATTGTAACTACGACTGAGAAGGTCAATCTCAACATACTGTCCTGTTACCTAAACTTTTTCTTAGATTTTATTTGTTTATTTTAAAAATATTAACTTTTGGAAAGGCACTAGAAATGGCTCAGTGTCCTCATGCTATTAGCATGTACTATGTGGCCATATGCCATGTATTTGATAACTTTTTGCTTGAAAACTCAATCCTGTTACTTTCAGTCCTGTTACTATTTTTTTCATTTTTCTAAAAAAATTAAATGAAATCACTGTTTTTATCAGTTTTGTTTGGCCCATCATTTATACAATTATTTAATCAATGAAATTGTTTAAAAAATATATAAACTTGAGGCTTTGGTCTTCTTTAAAATGAAAAAAATGGCTTTGTGTTTTTTATTAAAATACACCTTGCCTTAATAGTGATTTTATTGTCACAAATATACATTTTTGGAACAAATAACCAACAATTTCTTTAAAATAAACACTTTCTTGTGGGGAAAACAAAGGAATTAATTGACATGCTTTTAAACTTGCTTTTTAAATGGCACATGGTTTTCGGTAACAGGATTGAGAAAACATGCGCCCATCTTCTGCTTAAACCTTGTAAAAAAGTAAATAAAGTTGCCTGAGATTGACCAATACACATTTTGAATAGTTAAATATGTGTAGTATTAGATTCAATGTTGAAAAAGATAAAAAATAAAGTTTAATTTTGAAGAAATACAACAAGCAAATGTCACCCATTCGGTGGAATGGCCCAAATGTGTTATTTTAAATTGAGTTAGAGATTTTACATTATGGGAAAATTTTAACATGGAAGAATCTAGACAGTGTTGATGAGACATTTGTTCTTGTGGATAAAATAAAATCTGCAAAGTAAAACAAAAGAAATTCAGAAAAATAAAGAAATCGCTTATATATATATAAAAAAGAGGTGGGTACAACCTAAAGATATAGTTCACTCAAATGAATATGATACCATAATTTACTCACCCTCTCAAGCCATCCTAGGTGTATGACTTTCTTCTTTCAACAGAACACAGTTATATTTAAAAATATCCTGACTTTTCCAAGCTTTATAATGGTAGTGAATGGTACCTGAGATTTTGAAGCCCAAAAAAAAACACATCCATCCATCATAAAAGTAATCTGTACAGCTCTAGGGGTTAATAAAGGCCTTCTGAAGCAAAGCCATGCGTTTTTATAAGAAAAATATACATATTTATAACTTTATAATAAACTATAATAACTGGCTTCCGGTGACGTCCACATGCGAGTCTAGTTCCGGCGGTAGAGTGACCTCTGACCCGACGAATGATTTAGGAGTAGCATAAGCCAAGTAATTCATGATCAGTGTTTGGTTTTGCTTATTCTCTGCGCTTCCGTGTTCGTCAGTGTATCATGCATCAGGTCAGAGGTTCAGAAAGATGCTTTAAAATGGTTATGAACTAAAATCCTTCTGGTGCAGAAAATCTTGACCTACTAAAGTGTATAATATATAAAGTTTTAAAGTGTTTCCTGAAGTTAATCTACTAACTGATCGCCACTGTTTTGCAGCTGCTGGATGAGAACGATCAGCTGGTGAGATGCATCACAGAGTATCTGCAGAAGGGCCGAGCCACAGAGTGTGTCCAGTACGTGTGTTTCACGCGTCTGTTCTCTTCATATGCTTTAGTGCTTTTAATGAAGTATGTACTTCATCTCCTTCACAGATACCAGCAGATTCTGCACCGGAACATCGTGTATTTGGGAACCATAGCTGATGCCGGCACAGAGATCGTGCCGGAGGAGACGCAGACGTCTGCAAACGACTCGGTCAGTTAGACGTTCTGTGTACGGGAATATTGTAAACACGTTCAAATTAATGTTAATGTATTGCTCAACAGATCAGTTGTTTATGTACATTCGAATATGAGTGATGTATGTGCCAAATTTAGGCACCAAACGTTATTGTGAAAATGTTTTCCTGCCTGGTTGTTTAGTTATTTATTTATTTGTATATATATATTTTTTTTTAAATCACAGAATCCTTAAGGAAACAGAATCCCATTGGCCGAAAGGAACTCCAGATGTCTTTGCTGGGGAACACTTTTTATGTACATAATTTCATAATATTTATACTTTAATACTATGTATAATAAATATATGAAATGCCATAAATAAAATACCATGTTTAAATCCATTCTGCACTAAATGCAAATCAGATTCCTGTCATTGAAGTACTTCTAGATCATGGTGGTATTGTTGTACCGGCCTTCAGATTTTTAACTGCAATAAAGAAAATTGAGAACATGAATTAACAAACATTACATGTGAAAGCTCAGTTTGAATGTAAAATGAGTCAAAGACAAAATGAAAGCAGATGTTATGTTATATATTTATTTTTTGCATTGCTGGTACACTTGGAAATAATCAGTTGCCAGCTCTAGTGAACAATAAGCAACATAAGCCAAGCAGTCGCCCATCATATCTTCTGTCAGGGCAACATCATTTCTTTCTTTTTTTTCTCTTTTTTTTTTTAAACTCCTTTTAATTTTTTTGAAGCCACTAGTAAACCATTTTGACACAGCTGAGAAATGTTGAGCGTTACAGTCCAAGGTCATTGAAGATGTTTTATCTTTAAAAAAAAAAAGAAAAAAGCCGAAACAGTTTGGGAGAAAAACACGGACGAAGCAACGAACCTACATTTTTTGATTGTGCAAAGCACAGAACTATAAAAAGATATATTTATATACAGCAAACGATTCTCTGTAAACATGGTAAGTATGTTAGTTTTCAGAAAACATGGTCATATCATAAATACAGGCAACATTGGCATCGGCAAACGTCACGAAATGAACATTCTGGGCTTTTAAGATGCAGCCCCAAACCACAGAAACCAACGGGATCTGGGCTCAAAAATAACCAAAAAAAAAGAATAAATCCACCCAAATTCGACCAGAACCATTTATTAGTGTTTATAATGGCGTATTTGGTAACCTCTGTAGAAAGAAGGTACAGTTAAACTCTGTAGGAAAGGAAAAAAATGTGCTTCACATCTTGGGAAAATAACGTTTTACTTATTATTAAGCCTATATTATGCTAACTTATAGAGTAATGGTATAATGTGTAAGAAAATACAAAAATAAGATTAATACTGTCAATATTTGTACAAGAAATATATTGTATTTGAAAGGAATAAAATGTTATATTTATGAGAAGTGTTAGTGTCGTTCTGAAGAAAGCCAATGGGAAAACAAACACGATGAAGGGGTTCGACCATACAGAAGGGTTTTGTGTTTTTCATAAAAGGATTTTTTTCTTCTCTCTCTCTCTTTCTAGATATAACTACTACTACGCTCCCAAACAACATTTCTTTTTTTAATTTCAAGCACCATTTCCCCCCTCTAAACAATACTTTGGTTAGAGAAAATATCTGCAAGTGCTATTCAAAACAACATGGCACAAAGTTACTTACTGCTAACATCCTTTTTTTTTCTTTTTTTCTTCTTTTTAAATCTGTCAGACGTTGAAAAAGTAGTGTATTTCTTTCAAATTACACCTCTGCTATGATTATTATATTTCTGCCGAGCCTGCTCAAAGCCTCTTCATAAAAAGTAAATTATTTATAGTTCTTTTTTGTGTCTTTTTTCCGAGTCCTTTACAAGCTATGGAACAGTAGCTGAGAGCTGCAGTCTGGGTCGTCCCACGTGACATTTGGCAGTTACAGCTATTTTAACACAGTATCGTTATATGGGACGTCCGGTTAGCGAACCAGGACCCCGGGTCTTCGTAATGCGGCTGCAATAGTGCGCAGTGAGTGAGCACGGTGGCCATGCATATCGGAAAAGTCGTGTGTAAACTCGAAGCCGAACGAATCGAGATCGAAGCGGCTGCCAGTGAAATGGTCCGACTTGCTGCTGTTTGTTAACTCGAGTCATGCATCGCTCAGACAGCGTGGAAGGCAGTTACGTTTCTGTTTGGGGACACGCATCTGTGTACAAAAATGTTATTAACCACTATGTTAAATGCAAATTTCCCTATAAAAACACTTCTAGTTCACAAGGTTGGAGTCTAGACCAGGTTTACGGCACACTTCACCACAAGATGAACAATCCCAGCTGCGTTTCTACGATGAAGCCGTGTTGGGATTATAAAACATCATCGGTTCGACCTCTCCCAGCACGGGTCCAGCTCAGTACTGGTGTAGGTATGAGGGTCGATGCTCGGGTTTGAGCGGGAAGGTTTTGAAGCCTTTGCTCAGGATCTTGTGCTGGGAAACCTGTTGCTGTTGTTGTTGTTGTTGTTGTGGTGTGAACGGGAAGCCGGAAGAGATCCCGGAGGATGGAGGGCAGTCATTGGCTGTCGACCACACCGGAGACTGCAGCATTTGCATGGAGTCGCCCCATTGGCTGGAGGGGATGTTCATCTGGTAGAGGGAAGAGCTGGGATTGGGCATGGTGTTGGTGTGTGAGGAGGAGTGCTGCCACGGGGCTTTAGGAGGCCATGTTTTAGTTTTGCTGTCCTGTAACACAAACAGCACAACACACATATGGAGCAAAACTATGAAAGTGTGCCGAAGGGCAGATGACAAATATTCATGTTCAAGAAGGTGAACGATTAATATATATATACATACATATGCATGTATATATTCAAGAAATATTTGCATGTATATACTAATATATATATATACACACTTATACATTTTTCTTAAATATATACATGCATGTGTCTGTATTTATATATAGAAAATAATTATACACAGTACACACACACACACTGTAAACACAAACTTCTATTTTGGATGTGATTAATCGCGATTAATCATTGCCCAGCACTTGCATCTGCATTTTAAAGTTTTTAGTTTCAAAGTTTCTCAGAAATGTAATTGTTATATTCACAATAGTCTGATGTAATATAAATATTTTTAAAACTTTTAAAAAAGAAAATTGAGTGACTAATGAAAAACTTGTCAAAATAAAACAAATTGCACAAATATTGACAGTATTAATCTTATTTTTGTATTTTCTTACATATTATACTATTACTGTATAAACTAGTATAATATAGGTTTATTAAAACAAAGAAGATTATCTGACATTGTCAAATAAAAAATTATAATAATAGAAAATTCAAAATAAAGTTTATTTTTAGCTTGACAAAAATTTGTTTCGTTTTTTTATTTTATTATTGCGGTACTTGAAGTTAATTTACAAATATTAATTTTTAAATCATGATTATCCTGGGGTTTTATCATTTATAAAAAATCTTTTTTTTTTAAGTAACTGTCAGAATCAAATCTGATATCTTAAGAGTCCTCTCTGTGATGTCACTTCCTGGCATCCTGCATGTTACGCCACACTGAATTTGACGTGACATAATTTGTCAGAAATTATGTTTATCTGGCTAAGTCAAAAATATAGCATATTACTACTAATTTGGGGGGGAATGTGCACTCGTGCAAAAATAATTATAATCCAAACGTTAATTATTTAAACATTCTATGACAAAAGCGATTTACAGCAACGGCTGCATATGTGAAAGCACCTACTGTGAAATTCCATCTCATATTATTATGGAATAAACATGTGTGTGTTTGATTCCTACCTGGTTACTGTCGTCACTGGTGTGGTGCAGTGGAGGAGAGGGCAGAGTACACACTTCCTGTTCACCACAGCTGTGTTTCCTAAAAAACACACTCAACATGAGCAACACACTCATCTCAAACACATGAAGCGCTTCCGATAAAAGTTTCTGACGAACAAATCAAATGTTGGTTACCGTCTTTGTTTGACAGCCGCCACCAGGTCCGGCCCAGAGAACATGGAGAACAGACTGTCCCCATTGGCCGAGGAGGTCTCGTCACTCGAACTGGCTGAATCCCCCTGATTGGCTGACCAGCCGCTGTTGACCGCCTCCCTGCTCAAATACAAACATCTATATCAACATCTAAAACTATTATGCCCCTTTTCACAATATAAAATAAGTCTCTGATGTCCCCAGAGTGTGTATGTGAAGTTTTAGCTCAAAATATCAAACAGATCATTTTTACAGCATGTTTAAATTGTCACTTTTTGGGGCTCAGAAAAACGCGCCGTTTTAGTGTGTCCCTTTAAATGCAAATGAGCTGCTGCTGCCGGCACAGGGGGCGGAGCCTCACGGGCTTGCACTCAGTGTCAGGACAATCTCATCGCTACTGAGAGTTTCTGTTTCCTTCTGTGAGGAGTTCATTTCGACCTGGAGTCGGACAATAATGCCTACAGATTCAGAGAATATATACTGTATGGAGATGGAACAGGTATAATTTAGTTTAGTTATGGTTTTAACGTATTTGTCATCTGCTTGTATCCACTATTAATACAAGCCTGCTGTAGCAGTCGACCCCGTCTGAATGATGCCCAAAAATATACTGATGAGTTTAATAAAGTTTATTGTACATGACACAAAAGACGAAGATGTCAGTTTTACTCCAGAAAATCACCATAAGAGCCGAGTAAACAGTATAAGAAGTGCGCAAGTAAATAAACGAATTTCGGTATAGAGTTGAGGGAGCATTTCCTTCGAAAACAAAACTAATCCACCTCGTCTTCAGCGGCTGGCTCAGATTTCGGGAGTAAATAGAGAGAGCTATGTGGATTAATACATCCAGCCACACAACACCTGTTGAGACATTCTCGTCAGTGCAGCAATGGCGGATGTGTACAACTCGCTGTGAACTCGATCAGGGCGGTTCTATGTTAAAACGGCAACATTCGTGGGCGGGGCCTGTGGCTGTTGTGGCGTCACACCAGCCCCATCGCTGAAAACAGGTCGTTGGGAGACGCTGGTTATGATTTATGGGGATAAAAAAAAGAAGGAGTGAGTGGATTATATCACTATAGGGTGGTTGTGTACACACTGCCAAATCACATTTATGTCCAAGTGAATTTTGCATAATAGGTCCCCTTTAACGTCAATGTTTACACTACAGGACAACTGAGATAATTCATGGCGAGCACCATGTGACTGGTCATGTGTCACTCACCCTTCGCTGTAGTATTCGGGGTGTGCCCAGCCCCTGTGCTGCTCCTCAGGGTGGGGCCAGTTACTGCGGGGGTTGCTGGGACGGCGGACATGTTGAGCCTGGCGTTTCTGCTGCATGGCCTGATTGACCCCGGCAACATAACGAGCAAACTCTGGATCCGAGCCCACTGACCGAGACAGACACAGAGAGATGTGTGGGGTTAGTCCTGCGCTTTGTTTAAACTGTCAAGCACAGCAGAAACACATAATGGAGTCCAACACACACACACACACTTACTCCCTCTACACACTCACACTCTCTACACCACTCACAATGAGAAAACAATTAAATCATTACATGCTATTTGCATTAAAATAAATTCTTAATTCATTAGATTAAAATTGCACTGTCAATTTGAAGCATTGTTTCAGAGCAATTACTTATAAAGATTAATTAAAAAAATGTATTATAATAATACAATAATAATTTAATAATAGTACAATAATAAATAAAAAAATATGCACATTATGGAAATGTGACTGAATATGTGTATATAAATAAAACTGAATATATATATATATATATATATATATACACTATGTGTATATATATATATATATATATATATATATTAGGGCTGGTCAACGATTAATCGCGATTAATCGCATCCAAAATAAAAGTTTGTGTTTACATAATATATGTGTGTGTAGTGTGTATAATTATTTTGTATATATAACTACACACACATGCATGTATATATTTAAGAAAAATGTGTTATTAATATATCAAATATTTATATATAATATTAATTATGTATAAATATATATAAAGTATATACATGCAAATATTTCTAGAGATGCACCGATTACAATTTTCTAGGCCGATCCCGATTCCGATTTTTCCTTGAGTTTGACCTGCCGATACCGATTTTAGCCGATTCCGATTTCATTTTTTCAAACCACTTTACAGCACACACAAATATTTATTTTCTATCTTCTCTTTAATAGAACATTTTGCATAGAACATTTTTTTTAACAGATAATCGCTATAAAATAGAACTATATAAATTACTCCTGGTGTGGGAAAATCACACACATCTAAAGTGCAGTGTTATGGAAGAACCATTTCCTTTTCACATACAATATCCAACTAAAAAAAATTATATTTAGCAAACTAAACTTCTGTATGAAAACAGGTAATGGCAATAAAATAATATATAAATAACAAATAAAAATAAAATAAATATAGCCTTGCAGTATAAAGATATTTCTCTCTCTCACACACACAGGCCTATTTCAATCACTTGTACATCAATGGCAAGTTATATTTCTCACACAGTTCTTCTCTCATCTGACACATGTCCAGCCAAGCTAAACAGGACAAATGGAGTATGTGCAGGGAAATGATTGGGAAATAATAAAAACAAGTTTTAATGGGTAAATTTTCTATAAATATTTTTGAGTCTTCATTTTCTTTCTGACAGAGCCTAGTCTACTTCAGTTCTTGTTAAAACACACCAGACATGCAAATTCTGTGCATTTTGGGCACTTTTTGGATGAAATCATATTTATTTTGTCCATCAAAAGTGTGCTTTCACTTAAATGGAGCACAGCAAAAATACTCTGCGCCGAAACCCGCGCTTCACTGTTGCTCACGCGACGCCCCTGCTCGACGCTCACGCGCTTCTCCGGCTCCCGGTGTGAATGCACTCATTGATTAACATGCACGGCGAACAAAACAAAAAAAAACGCGCTGCTCCCGCGGTGTGAAACGGCCGTAATTCACGAGGTTTCCTACATGTGCGCGTTCCGTGTGCACGTGTGATGCTGATGTTGCGCGATGTTAATCATGCGGCGCCCGAGTACATTTGACCGGCATAAAAGCGGATTATGTCAGACTGACCGGCCGGTCGCCGATCATGGCCGATCACGTGAAAACCGGCCGATTCCGGTCACCAGCCGATCAATCGGTGCATCTCTAAATATTTCTTAAATATATACATGCATGTGTGTGTATTTATACAAAATAATTATACACACACATATATTATGTAAACACAAACTTTTATTTTGGATGCGATTAATCGTTGCCCAGCCCTAATATATATATATATATATATATACATATATATTAGGGGTGGAACGGTACACAGGAGTCACGGTTCGGTTCATACCTCGGTTCAGACGTCACGGTTCGGTACGATTTCGGTACAATGGAGTGAATAGCAAAACAAAAATGCAGAAGGCTTTTTTATAAATGTCTTAAAGCCTTGTATTTTTTAAATAAGTTTCATTAATAAAGGCATAGAACCAGTTTATTTGTAGTGCACTGACAGTAGTTTTATATAATTAGTTTATTAATTAAATTATTAAAAAGACGAAAAGACCATGAGATATGTTTGGTAATTGTACCTGAATGAATTTAAAATTAATTTGCTATTTCAGATCAATATATTTGTTTTCCTTAATTTTAATTAACCCTAACTTTATTCTCATCTGAATTATAAATAATTGATTTCCGTATAAAATAATACTACCATTAAAAACTTTTGTTAACAGTTGTAGGTTACAGTTTGACAAGAGTTTAGAGTGTGACAAAAGCACAATGTAGTGTTTTATTGCGAGTACACACAAATATAAGTAAACAGTTTGCAGTTTAAATGATGTCCTGTATGAAAAAAATGACGGAGTATGTTTTTATGTTTCCACTGTTCGATCGCCCGTGCCTCTTACACACACACACACACACACACTGTTCGATCGCGCGATTCGCGCCCGCGCCTCTCACACACACACACACACACTGTTCGATCGCGGGATTCGCGCCCGCGCCTCTCTCTCTCTCTCTCTCTCTCTCTCTCTCTCTCTCTCTCTCTCTCTCTCTCTCTCTCTCTCTCTCTCTCTCTCTCTCTCTCTCTCTCTCTCTCTCTCTCTCTCTCTCTCTCTCTCTCTCTCTCTCTCTCTCTCTCTCTCTCTCTCGCACACACACACACTGTTCGATCGCGCGATTCGCACGCACGCCTCTCTCTGTCTCTCTCTCTCTCTCGCACACGCACACACACACACTGTTCATCGCGCCTCTCTCTCTCGCGCAGCGCGCATACACACACACACACACTCCAGCATTGCAATCTTGATCGCAGCCTGTTCATTGCTGCGTTCAGTCACACCAAAAGCGAATAGAGCGAAATGTATCGCTATTTAAGAGTTTTTTTTTTTTTAAATTAATTTGTACCGTGTATTCTCCGTGCAAATTCGCGCACCGAACCGTGACGCCCGTACCGTTTCGGTTCAATACGAATACATGTACCGTTCCACCCCTAATATATATATATAATATATTAATAAAATTTAATATTATACTAACTATATTTATACAAATACATGCATACTAAATATTTAAATAAAATGTGTTTTTTGGGGGGTCTTTGAAAATGACCAAAGTAAAAGCTAGGAATTAGAATATTTTTTTTATTTAGCAAAATAGCAATGTTTGTCATCATTAATTTTAACTCATCTGCTCAGCATAGCTTTAATTAAAAAACTCTTTAGTCAAAGTAAGATTAAAACAGGGAACTACACTGCGACCAAAATGGTCGCATATGCGACCTTTTGAAATGCCATTGCGACCCTAATTTTTAAAGGGTCGCAAATGTATCACTGACTATTTTTGTACCTACCTTATGTTTTAGGCAATATGCTACGATTTACTATGAGCATTTATTAAATGTGTCTATTTTAAGTATACGTTTTTATAACGTGCTCTGAGCATTCAACACATCAAGTTGGCTTCAGCCACACAAGAGAGAGAGAAACGCGGGCGCGATCGAACTCTGTGTGTGTGTGTGAGAGAGAGACGCGGGCGCGATTCGAACTCTGTGTGTGTGTGAGAGAGAGACGCGGGGCGCGATCGAACTCTGTGTGTGTGTGAGAGAGAGACGCGATCGAACTGTGTGTGTGTGTGAGAGAGAGAGGCGCGGGCGCAATCGAACTATGTGTGTGTGTGTGTGTGTGTGTGTGTGTGTGTGTGTGTGTGTGTGTGTGTGTGTGTGTGTGTGTGTGTGTGTGTGTGTGTGTGTGTGTGTGTGTGTGTGTGTGTGAGAGAGAGAGAGAGAGAGAGAGAGAGAGAGAGAGAGAGAGAGAGAGAGAGAGAGAGAGAGAGAGAGAGAGAGAGAGAGAGAGAGAGAGAGAGAGAGAGAGAGAGAGAGAGAGAGAGACGCGGGCGCGATCGAACAGTGGAAACATAAAAACATACTCCGTCATTTTGTTCATACAGGACATGATTCAAACTGCAAAGTGTTTACTTATATTTATGTACACTCGCAATAAAACACTACATTGTGCTTTTGTCACACTCTAAACTCTTGTCAAACTGTAACCTACAACTGTAACCCAACCACACACACACACACACACACCGTTTTAAAAGCAAAACATATTTATCCAACCCCATTTAAAAACAGTCTGTGTGTTCCATCTTTTGGAGATTCATCATATCGCATTGGTTTTCATTTCTTGTCCTCGGAGTCGGAGCACTAATCTGTTTATTTTTCAGTTACACATTCTACATTGATTAAAAAAGAAAATCAAATGTGTTTTTAATGGTAATTATTTTATACGGAAATCATTTATTTATAATTCAGATGAGAATAAAGTTAGGGTTAATTAAAATTAAGGAAAACAATATATATTGGTCTGAAATATAGCAAATTAATTTTAAATTCATTCAGGTACAATTACCAAACATATATCAAGGTCATTTTGTCTTTTTTATTAATTTAATTAATAAACTAATTATATAAAACTATTGTCAGTGCACTACAAATAAACTGGTTCTATGCCTTTATTAATAAAACTTATACAACTTAAAAATACAAGGCTTAAGACATTTATAAAAATGCCTTCTGCATTTTTGTTTTGCTTTTCACTCCATTGTACCGAAATCATACCGAACCGTGACGTCTGAACCGAGGTATGAACCCAACCGTGACTTCTGTGTACCGTTCCACCCCTAATGCAGTACAGTTTCATTATTGTTCATTATTATCCAGAGAGCGGCTTACTATAAATAATTTGTGCGACCAAATCATGTTTTGTGCCAGTAACTGAAAAAGTTAGTAGCGCAAGTGCCACCAGTGGAAAAGGTTAGTGTAGTTCCCTGGATTAAAAGTATATATAAATCATTTGATCAGAACAGTCACTCTACCATGCAGCGGAGTTTTGCTCAACCAATGATAGTCAACCACTACACACACATCTGCTCACCTGCAGGGTCAAAGGGCATGGAGTCTCCCAGCACCCCGAACAGACTCTGCTCGCTCTGGTCTCGGTTGGGCCAGGTGTTGTTCCGCGGTCCCTGCGGGGGCTTGTGTCCGAGCATCTCCGACATGACGCTGTCCATGTATGTGCTGACCAGCCCGAGACTGTAGAGGTCAGAGCTGAGGTCGGGCAGACCCGGAGCGGGCCACTGCGTCAAGGGCCCGATCGGTGACAGGCCGCCCAGCGGACCTTGGGGCCACTTACTGGGAGCTCTCGGCTGCGGGGGCTGCTGGGAAGAAATCTGTGGAGAAACCGGGGCTTGCTGTTGCTGAGGCTGACCAATCGGCTGCAAGAGATGCTGGTAGAACGGCAGGGTCGGCTGCGGCTGCGACTGCGTTTGCTGTTGTTTTGGTGTTGAAGGAAGTTGCTGCTGCTGTTGCTGTTGTGTCTGTTGCTGTAAGGTTTGCGCTAACGTCTGCACGGCGTTATGAGACACTTGCGAGGTTGGCGGTTTCAAGTCGGACGCATTTGTCGACGCAACCGAGTTCCTTCTCTTCACTAACGGAGACGCCTGCTGGGATTTTCCCATGTTGAACCCTGATAGGAAGTCGATGACGTCTTGCATCTCCTGGTCGGTGGGAAGGTTCATGCCCTGCTCGTCTGCACCGTTGGCGATGTGTGTGTGGCTCGGGTCGGGGGTGCAGGGCATGCTGCTCATCTGAAGGATGCTGTGCAGGCGTGCGGTTTTGTCGTCGGAGTTGGTGCTGCTGCGAGACGGGGTGTTTGGGATCGAGTAACTGCCGCCAGCGCTGGAGTTGGACGAGGTTTTCTTGGTGAAGCGTGAGGTGAGTTTGGAGATGGTTTTGGGGAGGCCGCTGGAGGATTTGGTGCTGTTCCCGGGAGGGAGATCGATAGGGCCGCCGTAATCGGTCGTGTCTCGTTGAAGCTGGATCTGAATGGTGGGCAAAGTCTGTTCCCTACACACACACACACACATCAGCAGAGAATTACAACCTCTCTCTAATCAGTGTTATTTTAGTGTCATTGAGATCAATATTACGATTGTTATATTTTCCATTTTCTATATTGTCTATATAGTTTTTGATTTTTATTTCAGTTATTTTAGTACATGTATGTGTGTGTGTGAGAGAGAGAGAGAGAGAGAGAGAGAGAGAGAGAGAGAGAGAGAGAGAGAGAGAGAGAGAGAGAGAGAGCATGTGAAATATTCTACTAAAATGTATATACATGCATACATTTAGTAGAAAATTATATATATATATATATATATATATATATATATATATTATAAATACATATGTATATATAATTTTCTACATTTTAGTAGAATATTTTGCGCACACAAGAAGAAAATGTTACATTTTTAGTGATTAGTTGAGTTTGTCATTTTTACTAGTTTAAAAAAATGGACATTTTAATTATATATATATATATATATATATATTAGGGGTGGAACGGTACATGTATTCGTATTGAACCGAAACGGTACGGGCGTCACGGTTCGGTGCACGAATTTGCACGCAGAATACACGGTACAAATAAATAAAAAAACCTCTTAAATAGCGATAAATTTCGCTCTATTCGCTTTTGGTGTGACTGTTAACGCAGCAATGAACAGGCTGCGATCAAGATTGCAATGCAGGAGTGTGTGTGTCTGTGTGTGCGCGCGAGAGAGAGAGAGAGAGAGAGAGAGAGAGAGAGAGAGAGAGAGAGAGAGAGAGAGAGAGAGAGAGAGAGAGAGAGAGAGAGAGAGAGGCGCGATGAACAGTGTGTGTGTGTGTGCGAGAGAGAGAGAGGCGCGATCGAACAGTGTGTGTGTGTGCGCGTGCGTGCGAGAGAGAGAGAGGCGCGGGCGCGAATCGCGCGATGAACAGTGTGTGTGTGTGTGTGTGTGTGTGTGTGCGCGCGAGCGAGAGAGAGAGGCGCGGGCGCGAATCGCGCGATGAACAGTGTGTGTGTGTGCGCGCGCGTGCGAGAGAGAGAGAGAGGCGCGGGCGCGAATCGCGCGATGAACAGTGTGTGTGTGCGCGCGCGTGCGAGAGAGAGAGAGAGGCGCGGGCGCGAATCGCGCGATGAACAGTGTGTGTGTGTGTGTGTGTGAGAGAGAGAGGCACGGGCGATCGAACAGTGGAAACGTAAAAACATACTCCGTCATTTTTTTCATACAGGACATCATTAAAACTGCAAATTGTTTACTTATATTTGTGTACACTGGCAATAAAACACAACATTGTGCTTTTGTCAGACTCTAAACTCTTGTCGAACTGTAACCTACAACTGTTAACAAAAGTTTTTATGGTAGTATTATTTTATACGGAAATCAATTATTTATAATTCAGATGAGAATAAAGTTAGTTAATTAAAATGAAGGAAAACAAATATCTTGATCTGAAATAGCAAATTAATTTTAAATTCATTCAGGTACAATTACCAAACATATCTCAAGGTCTTTTCGTCTTTTTAATAATTTAATTAATAAACTAATTATATAAAACTACTGTCAGTGCACTACAAATAAACTGGTTCTATGCCTTTATTAATAAAACTTATTTAAAAAAATACAAGGTTTAAGACATTTATAAAAATGCCTTCTGCATTTTTGCTTTGCTTTTCACTCCATTGTACCGAAATCGTACCGAACCGTGATGTCTGAACCGAGGTATGAACCGAACCGTGACTTCTGTGTACCGTTCCACCCCTAATATATATATATATATATATATATATATATATATATATGTGTGTATTGATATATATTTCAGTTATTTTAGTAAAATCAAGTTATAGGGTTAGTTCACCCCAAAATAAAAAAATCTTATTCCCACAGAGAAGGAAATGAATAGTTGAATAAAGTCGTTATTTTTGCGCACAAAAAGTATTCTCGTCGCTTGATAAACTTAAGGTTGAGCCACTGTTGTCACTCGGACTATTTTAACGATGTCTTTCATAACTTTTGGGCCGGCCAGTTTCGATCCCTTAGAAGCCTATGGAGGAGTGATCCAGCTCTCAGATTTAATCACAAATATCTTAATTCGTGTTCCGAAGATGAACGAAAGTCTTACGGGGTTGAACAACATGAGGGAGAGTTATTACTGACAGAGTTTTCATTTTGGGGTGAACTATCCCTTTAAACTAAATGAAAATAAGAAATGTTTGAAATATTTATTTTCATTCAGCCCTGAGTGAACTAAGGTGAGTGTGTGATCGCAGCACTGATGCGTTTGCCACTGACTTGCGCTCCTTCCAGCGGTGGAGGTCGAACACAGCCGTGTAAAGCACGTCCACCAGGCCGAGGGTCTTCTCTGGATCCAGACTGCGCTGCAGCAGAGACATCGTGGCCGGATCCTCCTTCAGACACCTGACAGACAAAACAGCAGAGTCAGATTACATTTAGAAGCCTTTTTTTATTTGTATGTTATGCCATATCATCAGCAAAGGCTAAACTTTGAGAAGAAGCTTAAACTTTGATAAATTAAAATTAAAACAGAAAATAATATACCAAAAATGCAACAATATTTTTCTTGCAAAAATAATAAAATATAGCAATTATATAATCCCTTTAAGTTTTATATTTGATGGAAAAGATGCTTTTAGCTTACTTGACCCAGTTTAAGAGGGGTTAAATGTCTCGACTCCCCACCAGCGTTTTTGTTTTTTTTATTATTACTTTCACAAAAATTTCACGGGCCCCAGAATATGTTGTAGTATAAATATCTAAACATGCAATATATCAGAAGAAAGAACAGATCCTCTGCTTTTAAACAAAAAAAGTGTTTTTATTATAGCTTCATGCATTCCTTTTTAATCAACCCTTGAATGTGGGTAAGAAAGTTTTAGAAAAAAGCAACATTTTTGTTCTTTTCAAAGACTACAACATGCATAAGCAATGCTTTTATCGTTTGTTTCTGCTCCTTTTTTGCCTGTTTTGATCCAGAGATTCAGTTCTCTATCAGAAGATTCGTAATAGCGCCCCCTACCGTATAATAGTGAAAACACAGAGAAATTCAGCGGTGAAAGAGTCAAGAGCATGTTTATTCATTCAATTACTTTCAGTGATACTGAGATTTAATAAACTATTGCTATAATTACCACAAACATTCTCCTATACAGTTACTCACCATGTGGAAGGAACCTGGATCACAACTTTAGATCCTTCAAGACAGATCTGAGGGGCGTAAGCTTCCTTATTCTCAATCTGAGCCGTGTCAACCACAACCTGCACAAACAAATCATCATCATCATCAGGTTTAATAACTGTACACACTGTAATGAAGCTCTGCCAGTGAATAAATCATTCATGTTACTCGTCCTGTGATCATAAATCAACAACACTTTGACACTCGAGCGCCCCAGTGAACCGACTTTATCACTGTCAGAAAGCCGTTTCCACCAGAAAACACAAATGAAACATTTCCCACAGTTCTTGAAAAGAGGCCGTGAAGTTTGAAACAGGGAGGGTGTTTCCTATCAAACAGGAAGTGGGCTATTGTTATTAATAGCGCAGGTGTATCCTCAATGTGACTCAAATGATGGGGACTCTACACAGAAAACACACACACGCCCAAAGGTCACGGTCACTCTGACCACACACACAGCAAGGAAAGAAACGGCGTCATGGAAACGGCTTTATGATTTTTCATAAATCATTTTCCTCTAGCCGGTGGCCTTTTCCAAAACATTGAGTTCAGACTTTCATTCTTTCTTCCGTGTGAACGTTGCTGACAATGAACCAATAAAACTACGAATACTTCTCATGTAGGATTAGATACTGCTAACATTTGTGAGGTTTATGAAATAAAATAAAATCTAATAAATTCGATAATCCATAGTTGTCTTTGAGGCACTTAGTCTACTGTAGAGGTGTCATTGATTTTATGTACTCACTTCTAAACATCACTGTCAACACTGCATTGGCTCCCTATTAAACACTGCATAAATTTAAAATCTTTCTAATTACTTGCAAAACACTAAATGGTTTATCTCCTCAGTACTTGAGCGAGCTCTAAACGCATTATAGTAGGGATGCACCGATATGAAAATTTTGGCGATACCGATAATTATTTATATTTTAAACCCGATAACCGATATATTGAATCCAAATTAATATAATTGTTGAAAGCCTGATTACAAAAACAAAAGTTTCTCCATTAAAAGCCATGTCCTAAGCACACATTTATAATTGTTCTCATTATAATTGCATGTAGCCTATATAACAGCATGTTGCACTTAACTGTATTTTCCTTTTTTTAAGTGATTTCAATCATATTTCAAGCAGTTCAAAACCATCACATTGAACAGTGCGCATCTGAAGTGTCTATAATTTATTTATCGGCTTTAGAATATCGGCTAATTTTTCTTATCGGGCTGATAACGATAACATTAAAAGAAATGAACATATAGGCTGATAAAGATATGGTGGCCGATATATATCGTGTATCCCTAAACTACAGTCCTTCACGTCTATTGTGATCTCTAATACCTAGAATATCAAAATCAACTGCAGGCGGTAGATCCTCTTCCTATTTAGCATTATACGAGAGCCTTCCTCTGTCAGTTTAAATCCAGACTAAAAACACATCTCTTTAACCTGGCGTACACAACACATTATCAATTTCTATTCTTCAAATCAGTTAAATGACTGTTACTCCGCATAAATTAGGTTAAACGGAACCGGGAACACTTCTTATAACACCCGATGTACTCTACGCTAATATTAGTCTCTGTCTCCTCCTCATCCCGAGGTTACCGTAGTCAGCCGGATCCGGTCCATATCCAGATCAGACGGTGGACATCTAGACCTAGACACGACCAAAACACAGCCCTGAAAGTCAGCGTCTACTAGACAATCCCTGTGAAGGCCTCGTCGACACGACAGTCAGCGGCACAGATCCTCAGCAGAGACCATAAGAACCAGACCGGTCCTCCACACAGACCCTATGACCAGCTTCCAGAACCACTTTATAGATGAAATGAACTAACGGTTACACTATTTTAAGATGCCATTGTTACAGTGTAATTATATATTTAACTAAAATTAATAAACAACATGTACTTACTGTAGGGTTAGGGTTTCTTGCATGTAATTATGCATAATTTACTGTTATTACTATGGTACATGTTACACTTGTAACAAGGACACAGTAAAATAAAGTGTTAGCAAACTAATTTAATTGATGATCTTTACAACGAAACTGAATCAACACTGAAATGACTTCAGCTGAACAACAGCCGAAATGCATCTCTGTAAAGCTGCTTTGCAACAATCTGTATTGTAAAAAGCACTGTATAAATAAAGGTGACTTGACTTGAGATGACTTGTATAAAAACATCTGCTACATGTATAAATGTAAACACCACAAAGAGTGATTGGTGGTTTTATGCATCATCTTGTCCAAGTGGAATAAGCTGCAATAGGGGCTTTCGCACCGAGAAGTTCTAGGAACTAACCACCAGGGTTGTTCCCCGAGAACTAATGGTTCCCCTAGGAACGTTTTCCTGGTTGCGTTCGCACCGCCAGTAAGAACTCTGAAGTGACGTAAGCCGAGCTTGTTGTTGTGACTTTCATTTTGACGGCGCAGTGGACCTTTATTTTGACAACACTGAGAAACACCAGAGCCTGAACACACAGTGCTCACATTCTCCGTGTTCATTAGTTTACGATCTGTCTAACAGTCCTGTCTAATACGTTATTAGATAGAACTGTTATACATAGAAACTAGACAGTAATGAAAGGTTATTAGTGTAAGCTGAGTGGTTGATGTCCAGTGTTGCTGAGCAGAAATACATAATCATGTTCGGCTCGGTCCCCTCAAAAGTTGCGTTGGATTTTCTCCTCAGAGTAAAAGTTAAGAGGTCCATCTATCACTGTTTTACATGTTCGTAGAGTTAGTTTCTGGAGTAAACATATAGGCTATAATCTGTGTGTTTACACAGCCTTTTTAAAAAATGGCGGGTGCTGGTGTTTTGCGTGCTTTCGGCCAATCAGCGTACACTAACGTTAAGGATAGTTCCTATAGCGCTGGTTTAGACCGACTGTGAGGTGGGAGCTAAATTAGTTTCTCTAAAAGAGTTCCTAGAACTAAAATAGTTCCTAGCTCCTGCGGTGCGAACACGCAAACATCCGGGAACTAGTTCTAGGAACTATGAAAAGGTTCCTCCGGTGCGAATGCCTCTAATGTAGACCAGACTTTCTGGCGTGAAACTCACCAGTCCCGCCTGTCCGAACAGCAGCTGCACTGCGGTCTTACAGGCTCCTCTCCAGCTGGAGGGACACACCTGGTTCAGGACCTCAGTGACGGGGGAGTCGTCCCGCACCGCCACGCCGTTCTGGTCCAGCGCATCTTTGATCAGCTGCAGCACGGCATGCTGGGAAGAGATTACACTTGATGAATTTAGATTATTCTCTTTACTATGTTTTATTTTTAACATTACTATACAATTTAAATAATAGACACTACTGTTTGAAAGTTTGGGGTCTCTAATGCTCACCAAGGCTGCATTTATTTGATCAAAAATACAGTAAAAACAAGGAAATATTATTGCAATTTAATATGAATATATAGTAAAGTGTAATTTATTTCCGTGATCAAAGCTGAATACTCAGCATCATTACTCCAGTCTTCAGTGTCACATGATCCTCCAGAAATCATTCTAATATGATGAAGAAACATTTCTGATCATTATTAATGTTGAAAACATTTGAGCTGCTTCATATTAATATTTTGTGGAAACTGATGAATTTTATTTTTCAAGATTCTTAGATGAATAGAAAGTTGAAAAGAACAGCATTAGAAATATTTTGCCTCGTTAAAGATTCTTTACTGTCACTTTTGATCAATTTAAGGCATGCTTGCTGAATAGTATTCATTTCTTAAAAATAATAAATAAAAAACGGACTAACCCCAAACTTTTGATTAGTAGTGTGAGCAATACATTAAGAGTAAAAATTGTCATGAAAATAATCATTTAAAAAAAAGACCTTAAAAAGCCACATTTTCTTAATGAAAAAATATAATTTCTTTTTGTTTTGGATGTGAAATATCAGGTTTTGTGAGATTCACGTATCAGTGTTTAAAACCATCTGAGACATGCATGTTCCACCTAGCTTTATCCTTATTTCTTATTTGTGTACTTGCTATCATAGATTACTTTTCCACCTAGATCTTATCTCTAGTCATAATTCATAATATTGAGTTCAGAGAGAGAACAGAATACCGTTTTAAGCTTGAGGTTATCTGATGCACTTTCGTTGAAGGAAACTCCTCGGAGGAGATGAGAGCCGATCTGGACAGGAATTGTGGGTAATTCACACTGGATTGGCTGAGACGTGGTGTGAAAGCGTCCGGCCTGCTGGGCTTCAGCGTCACTGCAACAGCCCTGCACACACACACACACACGGCAATAATCAAACACTGTTCATATGCACACACAATTAAACCAAATAAACAACAACACACAAATGCATGTGCCTGTGAAGACGCAACAAAGTCATGTTTACAAGTAACAGCTTGAGAGCTTCTGAGGAAGTTGCGGAATTGAAATGTTATATAATTGTGAGTTCGGCAAGCAGTTTTTGCGATTTTAGGATTCCCCCATTCAAGTAGATGGGATTTGTCATTGATGCCCGAAATAGCAGCAAATATGGCCGGCGAGTGAACAGACTTTTTTTTTTAAATGGACTTTAAATATGTGCAGCATATTTAAATATGTGGACATTCACGTGTCTCTCTGCTGAACACATGAACATCCTGAGAGAAGCTCTAATCAGCACTAAGCTGTAATTCCACACACGGCCAACATACCTGCAAAGCTGCTTCCACTGATTTGGGATTAAGGTGAAATCCGGCCTTCAGCGCGTATTCACTGTGACCCAAAGAGTCTAACGCCACTTTATACGCCTGCAACACACATGCACACAACGTCAGTGGGTCAGTCTGTGCCTCATAAAAAGCCTCATTATTAACAGAATACAAAATGATTAACTTTCAATTTTAATAGTACTATAAACTTCTAGATCTAGATCTGTTTCTACATTCAATCCTGTTACAGGTCACTTTTTATTTTAAGTTTTGCACCATCATGATTTTTTGTATTTCACTTACAAAGTGATCATTACACTCTTAAAGTAAAAATATTTAATGTGCTCAATTAATACGAGCTCTGATATAACTATTGTTTAAAATAGTTTTAAAGTAATTATAGCATTAAGTAGCTCAAACAGTAAAGCAATGCACAAGTAACGCCGAGGTCATGGCTTCGATTCCCCCGGGAATGAATGAATGATAAAATGTATACAGTATAACTTATTTGTGATGTTGCTTTGCATTCTGCAAAAAGCATAAATGTACATACTAAATAATAGCATTTATCACATAATTATCACAATTAAACTGTAATAACATGGTATAACCCCCATGTTATCACAGTTGAATTGTGATAATTATTTGATAAATGCTATTATCTAGTATGTACATTTATGCTTTTTGCAGAATGCAAAGCAACATCACATCGACACCCAGTCATCACAAAAAGAAAACTTACGATGTCAAACAGAGTCACGTTCATTTATTATGATTTTACAGCACTAACAGTAAACTACTGTTAACATGGTCGTTAAACTGTTAAACTGTTGTAAAGGTGTGTGTTCACCTGTAGAGCGTTGTCGATCTTGGCGTTGAGCTCTTTGAGCTGGTGTTCAGGTATGGAGGTGTTCTGAGAGCAGAAGAGCTGCTGTACCTGAATGCCAGACAGACAGCAGTCTCTCCCTCTCTCCCTGAGACACGCCGTCACCTGAATCACACACACACACACACACCTATTTAACATACAAAACTTCCTGCTACACTGCTGCTGCAGACATTTATTCATTCAAGTAGTTAAGGAAGGTAGTATGCAGTCTGAACTGAATAGGATGACAGAGACTAAATACCGCATTTAAACATGTAAATAAAACAATGTTATATAAATGAAATATAAATTAAAATGAAATATTCCTAAATATATTATAAAATATAACTAATATAAATCCTACGTGAATTTTATAATAAAACATACATTAAAACATTCATATTGCCAGAGATTGTTGACTCAAATGCATCAGTGTTTATTAATTTTTATTTTAAAAGTAGTTTTTGTAGGTATTTGAGGTAGTATGCAGTCTCATCCGAACATGACAGACTGGGCTAGGCAAAATATTAAGACAACATATGAGTAAATCTCAAACTTTTTATATATATAAAACATAATATAAAAATATATAATTAACCCTCTAGGCGCCACGGTCGAGTTTACTCGACAAGATGCGGCACTGAATAAAACTAGGGATGTCCCGATACCACTTTTTCACCTCCGATACCGATACCGATGCCGCAGCTTTGGCTTTTGCCGATACCGATATTAATCCGATATTTTTATTTTATTCTTAAACTAATAAAAAATATAGCAATTTTCTCAATTAACCACCTAAAATATACCTCCTATATAGTCCACAACAACAGTTGATTATGAAAGATTGCCACCCTTTATTCAAACACTACAAAAAAATAAAGAAATATATAAATGAAAGAAAATACAGATACTTCAATACTTAAAGCTAGCTAGCTACCAACAGGTTTAAAGTTAAAACAATTTAAACAGCAGCATTCTACATTGTAAATACCAGTATAGTTTTTGTTTTTTAAATCAAGTAGAATTTCTATAACTGTGTTAAACTGATTATCACTCTTGTGTGTGTTAAACACAATCTACTTAATACAGACAGCTTCATTATAAAGATAAACAACAAATCCCCAAAATATATGATCATAATCTATGACAAAAATGCTATTATAAACTAGATTAGTGGATAATACACATTGCTCTTCTTATTGTTGTAAAATACATTCATGAAAAACAAGGGTAACAAAAATGAAAAAGATAATTATTTTAGATATAGCTAAATCTGCTATACAATTGAGACATGTTTTAAGTGTATTGCACAGCTATTTAATGAGGCAGCAACATTAATAATTATTAATGTTAATAAGCTTTAATTGAGTCACTGCATTATGATATGAAAGGCTTCAATACAGTGCGGCACAAAGCGCGTATGCGCATCCCGAGCGGAGAATGATGCGCTTGAAGCCACGTGGAGTTACAGCACGCAGCGCGTCGAGTCCGCTTTGAAAAGTTCAAAGCACAACGGAGATACATATTGATGGACAGTGTATTATACAGTATCTATCTATGCAATCGTTTATTGAGCCTTTTCTTTTAACAGTTTTAAATTTTAGTTACTGTGCGCGTGAAGAACAATTATAGTGCTCTGACTCTAGTGTTGTGATCAAACCCTATGGATCAAACCGACAGCGTCCGACACCCGGTAGAGAGTAACACGATTGAGTTACAGCAATAAAGTCCAGCAAGATAAAGTTGTTATATGCGAAAACATAGACCTTTATCTTACAGATCAAGTATAATAGTATTAACATTGAATCATCTTGAAGATAGTTTCATCATTGACTGTAACCGAACGCGACGCGCTGTTTGAATGCTGAATGGAGAATGACTGACAGCCGCGAGAGGGAAAAGTTTACGTGATCTTGAATTTAATGACTTAAATATTAATTTCTCTCTCACATAATGGCTTCAGAACACTTATAATAGAGTGCACGAAAACGTTATGGTACTTTAGAATGTTTATGTGCCTTTTGTGGGTATACTAACACATAATAGTATACCCACAATATCGGATTTGGATCGGCCTCGTCTGATCGATGTCTGATCGATACCCGATCCCGCAAAAATGGCAGTATCGGAGCCGATACCGATCCTGAGTATCGGATCGGGACATCCCTAAATAAAACGGCCGATTTTGTCAAATTGGGTGTCAAATTTCGTTCGACCTCCCCTCCACTGGATGGCAGACATGTCATACTTCATCCCCGAATCAAAAAAACGTCATTAATCAATACAAAATGTTCGAGTTAGAGCGCATTGAATCAGTGCGATCAAAAGCGGAGCTAATGTGCGAGTGAGCCATTTTATCAGATCCTCTCCGCAATCGCGGCGACAGTATTGTGGTGGAGACTTTGTCTAATGCCACTGGGTATGTTAGACGAGGTCGAAGTATTCATAGGACAGTTAGGGAGCAACATGGAGGCAGGGTAAGGAGTCGCAATGACAATGACAGCAGTCCGAGCTGTGCACACTCGGCGCGCGCGCGAGGCAGATCTGGCCGCGCTGCTCGTATCATCTCACTGATGAAAAGTGCCTTGCCGTGGCGAGTGAGCTTTTGAACTAAACAGGTCTTGTCTACTTGTGTTTGTATGTCATATGAATAATATATATGGGCCCATACATGGAATCAGAGTGCCTACTGTATTTAGTAAATGGAAAATCTCTACAGCAAAAGGCCAAGCACTACATGCATTCGGTTTGTTACTACCATTTATTAGTAATGATTTACACAGTTTGTTTACTACTTACTATATACCTGAGCATTCAGTATTGTGCAATATAGCATACAGAAGGTGATGGACATTTTGGGGGGAAAGAAGTGCTGCATTTTATCATTTAAACGTGACTTTTCATGAAAATTCTATAATCCAAGATTGCCGCCAACATATGACGTCATAATATGCAAATTAGATGGGAAAATGTAATCCCTACATAAACTTTGGGTCATCCTTAATATTTCTCTAATTTACAGAAAGTCTCTATCTTTTATCACTTTAAAGATATAGCCTTTTGAAATTAAGATGTCAAAACCGAACGTTTTAGGAAAAAAGGTTAAATAAATAAAATATTCTGGCGCCTAAAAGGTTAAATAAATAAAATATTCAATATTCAAAATGATATAACTATAATTAAAATATTTTAAAATAATTTTGTAAGGGCTCACCGACTAAAGTATATCAGTGTGTTTATTTTTAGGTAAGTATTTGAGGTAGCATGCAGTTTTGAACTGAATAGCATGACAAACTGGACATTATAAAATAATATTTGGACAATAAAATGGGTAAATATCACACAAAAATATTTTTACATCTAAAATGTAATGATTATATTGAAATCATTTTCACTCCAGGCTGGTTGTTTGTGCATTGATCGGTGTTGTTCACCTCTGATGCTCCTCTCCATGAGCGGATGGCTTCCTCCAGCTCCGTCAGGGGCCCGGGGTTTGTGTTCTGCGTGTGGGCATTCCCACGTCTCTCCTGAACCTGTGCCAGCGCCTCCGCCAGGCAGGACTGTGCCACCGGCTGGACTTTCTGCAATGCCTGCGACAGGAACTGAAAATGCACCTGCATGACCGTCAGGAAGCAGCGGCCCAGCACCTGAGAAGAATAGTCACATCAAGCCTTTAACCATCGAACATGAAACCCAAAATCACTTTCCTGCTCTCATTGTGAATGGTTCATCAATACATATTACTCGGCAGACAAAAAAAAAGTCTGCTTTTATCAAAAGTCGTCACTTAAGGTGGTTATGTAAATACAAAAGAAATATGTGAAAAAGATTGCACTGAAAAAGATTCAGCCTTTTAGTGATTTCAAATGAAACAAAAAAAATTTTGTTTACATAATATATGTGTGTACTGAGTATAATTATTTTGTATATACACATACACACACATGCATGTATACACTCACCTAAAGGATCATTAGGAACACCTGTTCAATTTCTCATTAATGCAATTATCTAATCAACCAATCACATGGCAGTTGCTTCAATGCATTTAGGGGTGTGGTCCTGGTCAAGACAATCTCCTGAACTCCAAACTGAATGTCAGAATGGGAAAGAAAGGTGATTTAAGCAATTTTGAGCGTGGCATGGTTGTTGGTGCCAGACGGGCCGGTCTGAGTATTTCACAATCTGCTCAGTTACTGGGATTTTCACGCACAACTATTTCTAAGGTTTACAAAGAATGGTGTGAAAAGGGAAAAACATCCAGTATGCGGCAGTCCTGTGGCCGAAAATGCCTTGTTGATGCTAGAGGTCAGAGGAGAATGGGCCGACTGATTCAAGCTGATAGAAGAGCAACTTTGACTGAAATAACCACTCGTTACAACCGAGGTATGCAGCAAAGCATTTGTGAAGCCACAACACGCACAACCTTGAGGCGGATGGGCTACAACAGCAGAAGACTCCACCGGGTACCACTCATCTCCACTACAAATAGGAAAAAGAGGCTACAATTTGCAAGAGCTCACCAAAATTGGACAGTTGAAGACTGGAAAAATGTTGCCTGGTCTGATGAGTCTCGATTTCTGTTGAGACATTCAGATGGTTTAATGGTGTGGGGGATGTTTTCTTGGCACACTTTAGGCCCCTTAGTGGCAATTGGGCATCGTTTAAATGCCACGGCCTACCTGAGCATTGTTTCTGACCATGTCCATCCCTTTATGGCCACCATGTACCCATCCTCTGATGGCTACTTCCAGCAGGATAATGCACCATGTCACAAAGCTCGAATCATTTCAAATTGGTTTCTTGAACATGACAATGAGTTCACTGTACTAAAATGGCCCCCACAGTCACCAGATCTCAACCCAATAGAGCATCTTTGGGATGTGGTGGAACGGGAGCTTCGTGCCCTGGATGTGCATCCCACAAATCTCCATCAACTGCAAGATGCTATCCTATCAATATGGGCCAACATTTCTAAAGAATGCTTTCAGCACCTTGTTGAATCAATGCCACGTAGAATTAAGGCAGTTCTGAAGGCGAAAGGGGGTCAAACACAGTATTAGTATGGTGTTCCTAATAATCCTTTAGGTGAATGTATATTTAAGGAATATTAGCATGTATATACTGAATATATATTTATAACAGCAACATATAGCCCGTAAAAATAATGAGATATAGACACTGGATCATGTGCTCAGACCACTAACAACATTTGTTCTTTGTCCTGTTGGCCCTGCGTGTGTTTTCAATAAACATAATAATGAATAAGATTTAAAATTGCCGTGGATCGACACAAAATAGAGTCAGAATTGCAATGCATGAATTGCTTCTGTTCATAAAGAGAGAAAGCATGAGACAGACCTGTCACCCCCACCCACATATATATATTTAAGAAATTTTTGCATACTGTATATATATTTATATATAACATATCCAACATATAACAGACATAATTCAGGCTATAAACAGTGGTTTGTACATCTGGTGCTGATGTTTTATTAATACGCAGAACAAAAACCATCAAGACCAAGAAACCCCATCGAGGTCAACGCGCCAGACAGCGCTTGAAGTTCTGGGAAACGGCGGTCGATCCCGATAGTAACGAGCGCGTTCGGGAACATTCCCAGACACAGAAGCATTCTGAACAGATTTACAGCGGTACCGTCGTATCGCTTCCTAAATAGGGAGTCTTTCCTGACTCACGTCTTACTCATCGGCACGGGAAAGTGGAGACAAGCTCGTGAAAATAATGAGATATAGACACTGGATCATTATGTGCTCAGACCACTTATGTTGTTTGTCCTGTTGGCCCTGCGTATGTTTTCAATAAACAGAATAATGAATACGATTCAGAATTGCTGTAGATCGGCATAGAGTCGAGTCAGAATTGCAATGCATGAATTGCTTCTGTCATAAAGAGAGAAGGCAGGAGACAGGCCTGTCACCCCTACCCACAGCAGAAAGGGTTTCTTTTACAGGTATCTGCTGGAAATATCTACAGGCCAAGCTGTAAAGACAGAAATATGCCATCTTGTGCAACAGGAGACAGGAAAAACAAGGTGGCGCCAGTTTCAGTCTTTCACCCCTCGCGCAGAAGCACCTGAGAGACGGAAGCATATATAGGAAGCGGTCTTAAATGTTAGCTAAAGACAGATTTAGACTAATAAATCAACTAACTGTAAGGTTACCACTTGAACATCTTTATTCAAAGCTAATTTAATGGTTTCAGGGCTCGACATTAAGAGTTGGACAAGTGAAACTTATAGAACAAGGTTCAAACATATCAAAAATCAAATATAAGGTCCAGAAAAATAAAATGTGTAATAAATAAAATTGCAATCATTAATCATGATTAATTTCATTTATTATTAATCAATTCAAGATGCAATTGCAGAAAAAGCATTTAAAGTTGATTCTTGATTCTCATGTACAGTGACAGACAAACGAAACGCACTGATGTCACGGGTTAATAAAAAAAGGATCCCATTTGCTACTTTATTTTTATTTTTTGCATATATTATTTGTAAGTGTGTATATATATATATATATATATATATATATATATATATATATATATATATATATATATATATATTAGTTTAAAAAAGGATTTTAAAGGCTTTTAAAAAAACCTTAAATATAAATATGGTGAAATATATTACTATATAATGATGCAATAACAATAACCTGGTAATATTTTAATTACAACTACTACTAATAATAAATTATTATTATTATTATTATAAATATTGATACATATTTACTTGCATTATTGTCATCATTGCTACTACCACTAATAATAAGAATGTTATTTTTTTTATTATTAACAATTAATGTTATTAATACAATGTTTATTTATACATTATTATTATTATTTAGACAATAACATTGAAAGAACAGTGCAAATGAGAAACAAAAACTTAAGTGACTAAAAAGAGTGCAAGACCAAGAACACTGTGGAAGCAAATAGAATTGAAGACATGGAGTCATGATCCAAATAAAAGTCTGTTCAACTGTTCATATGCAAACAAATCACATCACACAGTTTGGAAATCCGATCTAGGGTCAGTATTCTTACTGAGGGCATGCCGAGACCCAAAAAGAAGAGCGCTGCTGATTGGCCCAGCGATGCACTGGTGTATTTCTGTAGCGGCGCTTCATTGAGACAATCGTGGAGTCAGGTAACACACCCCGGGGACGGGAATACCCTGCTGTCGCCCTGCCAGCCCAACGTAAACAGGAGAATGAACTTGCCCCTTCACACACACACACACACACACACACACACACACACACACACACACCAGGCAGATTCCCGCGAGGCAGGAAGGGCCACTTGCAAACAAAAACGCTCATTAGCAAATACAAGACGCTGAATAGACACTAGCTGCCGCCTGTAAAGATTGTGCCGTGTTTACAGAGAGCGTGTTCTGCTAATATACGTGGGCATTTGAGAAACATTTCCTTCGGTTTCATTAAAGGCCGTGACTAATAAACAGCATTTCAGCTGCCAAAAATGCATGAAAGTGTCAAAACACAGTGGTATATTGTTAAAAATACAACACACTTGTATTTTTGTCTCGTCTGATTTTTTTTGACAGAGAACGTAAAAAACATTCCAGTTTTGCTGCTTTAAACACCAGGGCTGTGTTTCCCAAAAGCATCATGAGCAAAGTCATAGACATTGATCATAGAGACCATTGGTGGTAATGGTTCTACGATCTACTGTACTTAGGCTTAACAATGCTTTTAGGAAATGGAGTCCTAGTGTTTTTTTAAAGAATCAAAACTGGTATGTTTTTTTACGTTCTCCATGTCAAAAAAAAAAAAAAAGAGAGAGAGAGAGACAAAAACACAAGAGTTAAACACTTGAAAACAGAGCCGTAACTTTCCGGAATGGTTGCTTCGGACGAGCTGTAAAGTTTCTGTTTGAGTATTCAGGACATTTTTGCTTGTGCAAACATTATAAAGCACTTTCAATATTTGAATACATTCCACAGTAAACTCGTTCAGGGGGAAAGAACTCGGAATTACCAGAATATTCCGTTACATACTTTTAAAAACTTTGGCGTTTCGTGTTTTGGCACAAGGCTCCGTTGGGACTTTGTAAAAGTTGGTCTCTGTAGCTGCCGGTCTGGCCCGGGTCCCTGCCACAGCGTGCCCGTTTTAAAGGCCTGTGGTGTGAATCCACATCCACCGGGGCGCAAACCCTCGCTCATAAAGGCCTCGTTTCAGCTCATATGTGTCCCTCGAGTCGAGACACGGAGGCTGACCAGCACAACACACACGAAGGGAGAAAGAGGGAGGGAGAGAGCATCTGGTTTCCGAAAATATCTCGGAACAGAGGAATTCCTCTATAAAAGATCTTGAGGCCTCTCCTCGCCTTTGAAAAATAATCTGAGTCTGGAGTAACAACAGGCTGATGGGAAGCACAAGCACCACAGGTTTGATCGCAGGTCGAGCTGGATTTATAAGCATTCCTGACTGTCCTGTCCTTCTAAAATTGTGCTTTGAGCGAGACACTTAACCCCTTAGTTGCTAGATTTGACAAGAAGTCTGAGGTGTATTTTTGCAGACTGCTGAAAGCTACTAGCCTGACTTCATCATACTCATATTCTAGTCAGACTGTAAGTCTGATACTGCTCCATAGGGCTTTGATTATAAGGCGTGTCTTAACCGAACCAGGAAAAAAAAACTCTGCACTCAATTGGATAGACCTACAACCAATCAGAGCAACGCAGTAAGTGTTTTTTTTTATGAGCTACGCATTGTTGTCAACAGAACTCAACTACACGCACGCTGGAAGAAGTAGTAAAATAATGAGTGTTGCTTCTTTTACTTGGTCCTCCATGAGTGCGACCAAAGGAGAAACCACAACGACCACAGGGCTTTCATTGCGTCCCGTCTTCTCAGCGACCATCGGAGCCAGCTGATAAAATAAACTTTTGCCGAATCCCGTGGGAAGGACGGCAAACACATCTTTCCGATCAACAAATGCCTTGATTGCAGTTCTCTGTTCGTCTTTTAAAATGAATGCGCTGTCGATTTCTTCTACAACAGACGCGATAGCGAGATCTATACATCTCAGTTCTCCAGCTGCAGTGATCTCTGAGGGAAACCAGTTCAACCCAAGCGCTCTTGATAACGTGATGATTACAAAACTGCAGATCATCTGTCCATCATCGTATAAAGCCCGCCCTGGCAATTTGATTGGCCCGACTAATTCTGAACCGATCATAATTACTCCTCAATGGGTTGAGTCCAGACCGAACTTCCCGACCAAAAAATGTTGTGGGCGGGGTTCGGGCTGGCATCCAGGCTAGAAAGCTACAGAACAGAGAAGCAAATGATCGCTGCAATTCACAGAAACAACTGGACCTGGCAGCGAAACGTGGATTTGCAGTTATCATTTTAATTTTGTGTCAATAATATGGTGAATTTGGGGTAAAATCATACCCTATATATTGTATTTACAACTCATCAATTAAATATTTACCATTGTATATTCTGCATAATTGGATGTTTTTAAATAAACACTGACAAAAAAAAAAACGATACAAGTTTTAAAGGTTCTCTAAGCGATCCTGGGTGACGTCACTTCTTGTTGACGTTCGAACTATTGTCAAACAAAACGGAGGCTAGCTAGACCCTCCCTCCTCCTCATCCGCACACTAACCCCCCAAACCACACCCCCAAACCCTTCTTGTCGGTCATTGGCTGGAACAGTTTGTTATGTTTTGGGGAGCGGGTCGCTGCAGTTTGTTTTTGGTGCTGTTTGTGAAGCATGGGCTGTCTACAGAGATCGCGTTTCTTTACAGTGTGTTCAGGGGACAGGCAGCCAGCGGATAGTGAGGAGATGTTTGCTGTATGTGACAAAAAATGTTTTGGCCTAAAAAACACATGACATCGCTTAGAGCACCTTTAAGGCTGGGCGATATGATGATATATATAGTATTAATATTAGGGGTGGAACGGTACATGTATTCGTATCGAACCGAAACGGTACGGGCGTCACGGTTCGGTGCACGAATTTGCACGGAGAATACATGGTACAAAAAAAACCCCTCTTAAATAGCGATAAATTTAGCTTTATTCGCTTTTGGTGTGACTGTGAACGCAGGCTGCGATCAAGACTGTGATCAAGATTGCAATGCTGGAGTGTGTGTGCGCGCGCGTGTGCGAGAGAGAGAGAGGCGCGGGCGCGAATCACGCGATCGAACTGTGTGTGTGTGTGTGTGTGTGTGTGTGTGCGCGCGCGCGCGCGAGAATGATCTCTCCTGCGCGATCGAACAGTGGAAACATAAAAACATACTCCGTCATTTTTTTTATACAGGACATCATTAAAACTGCAAATTGTTACTTATATTTGTACACACTCGCAATAAAACACTACATTGTGCTTTTGTCACACTCTAAACTCTTTTCGAACTGTAACCTACAACTGTTAACAAAAGTTTTGAATGGTAGTATTATTTTATACGGAAATCAACTAGGCCTATAGCCTAATTCAGATGAGAATAAAGTTAGGGTTAACTAAAATGAAGGAAAACAAATATATTGATCTGAAATAGTAAATTAATTTTAAATTCATTCAGGTACAATTACCAAACATATCTCAAGGTCTTTTCATCTTTTTAATAATTTAATTAATAAACTAATTATATAAAACTACTGTCAGTGCACTACAAATAAACTGGTTCTATGCCTTTATTAATAAAACTTATTTAAAAAATACAAGGCTTAAGACATTTATAAAAATGCCTTCTGCATTTTTGTTTTGCTTTTCACTCCATTGTACCGAAATCATACCGAACCGTGACGTCTGAACCGAGGTATGAACCGAACCGTAACTTCTGTGTACCGTTCCACCCCTAATTAATATAAGTGATCACCCGGATTTAGACATACCTATATTGTATTTATGCAAAGAGGTTTGGATTTATAAGCATTCCTGTCCTGTCCTTCTAAAATTGTGCTTTGAGCGAGACACTTAACCCCTTAGTTTTTAGTCTCAGCTTTTGATAGAAACTATTTATTTATTTTTTACGATTCTAAAATCGATTTTTTTTATTCCAGAATCGATATTCAAATTTAATTAGATGGGGTTGACAGAAGTTAGCCACTTTCGTTCCAACAGAGGATGAAATGTGTCGTTATCTATGAGTGTTAAGTGACGTAATATCCAAAGTGGACGCGTGGAAGAGACGTGAGACTGAAAGCCCTCAACTACTGAGAGAGATAAGACAATAGAGCTGCACGATTCATCTTTAAAAGACTGTGATCTCGATTCAAACACCCACGCGATGATCTTCTTTCAATTCGTCTGTCTATTAAACCTTTGACAAACTCATATCACAACCATCAAAGCTGTGTTGGCGCTGCCCCGGAGAGAGTCGTCATGAAACAGCTTCACAAACACTCTTTTCAACCTCATAATAATAGCATTATTTCTGTGATACAATAGTTCAAATTATCATAGAAGAAAGTCTAAAGTTCAAATATGAACACTGGCGTCTACGATAGCATTAAAAATCAGCTTTTGATAGAAACTTGGTTCTTAAAATACCACATTTATCGATTACATTGAATGTCAAAAAATAATGTAATGTATGATGCTTCTGAAATAAAAGTCAGAAAGATGTGATTTGTTTTTGTAAATATGACTCATCTTATACATCATGTACAGTCTGTATAAGTGTATGATTTAACTTTTCCCCCATGGTCTAGTAAAAAAAAAAAAAAAAAAACGCAATATTTATAATAATAATAATAATAATAATAATAATAATTATAATATCAAAATAGATAGAGAAATTTCCCAATTCTTGATACGACAGCAGAAACATCAGCATGTGTTAATATCTGTGCAGGATGTTTTCGTGTGACCTACCTCCACGTCCTGCAGGCTGAAGTCGTTCTGGTCTTTAAAGTTAGCCGCGCCTGCGCTGAGCTCCATCAGCATTTTGCCGATCTCGGGCTTTATTGCTGTGGTGAGCCGGCTGGTCGTTTCCATGACATGTTCCTGCACGTCCTTCAGTTGCATAGCCGCTTTGGAGTAACGGGAGTCCCGAAACACGCTGCCAAAGAGCTCGGTCAGGAACGCACTCGCACGGCAGAACGCGTTCAACGCGTCCAGGTATTTGGAGATGCCCTGTTGGATGTCCGCGATCGCAGTTGTAGCGCCTGGGGGCGGGGCATGACAGCCAGAAGGGGAGGAGCCTATCGCTGCCATTGGAGAAGGGGTGGAGCAAGATGTGCCCAATGGGGCGCTGAGGGTCCGGCTGAGTTCGGGCAACTGGAACTGCTGGTGCTGCTGCACTTTGTGCTTGGACCCGCCAAGCAAAAAGCGCAGCTTGTAGTCCATTTTACTTTCTTGCGCACTGCAACAATACATAAGTATTCGACGTGCCCAGGAAGAGTCGGTCCTCACGAAGCAGACAACTCTTGAATTTGTTTTTATGTGCACAAGTAATGCCTAATTTGGGTCTCCTGGAGTCAAGTAAATAGATAGCTTAAAGATCCCATCAGAGGGGAAGTCATGACAGTATTCCACTCCTGAGAGATGAGAGCGGTGCAAAGAAAGGTTTGAGGAAATCTTGCAGCCCAGCTGCAACTCTGGACGCTGCTCACATCAAAACGTTTCCACTTATATCCCAGTGAAATGCCAATCCAACTCCAATTAGCTTCAGGTATTTTCTATTAGAACTGGTTCCTCACGAGCAGGAAAAAAAAAGAGATTATCTGCACATCACTTACACACCAAGCACAGCTTCAATTCTGGACGAAAATCCAAAAGTGCATAATCAATCCTTCAAATGGAAGCGAAAAACCCTTCTTTCCGAACTCTTTCCGTAGGCCTCTAATAAAAATAGAAAAATCTTAAAAATCTGTCAGCAAAAAGAGGAAAAACAGTGACACCGTTCAACAGCAAGCCCGGAGGATTGGCGTGAGCTACAGGGTGACGTGGCCTGAGCCGCTCTGACGGATCCAGTCGGTCAGAGGCTTTTCTGAGGGCCGAACAGTGGATCGGGGGGGCTGGTGGATCACACGAGATCGACGGCTCCCTCTTGATCCGTTTCCAGAGCCTGAGGTAGTTAATACTCACAACGGAAACCAATGTGCTTCCAGATAGGGGTCTCTCGGCAAACGCGGACTGCAGCAACAAAAGCACAAATTATCTGTAAGGCCTCTCGGTCATTTCCTGCGAAAGAGACAAAGAGAGAACGACGTCAGTGAGATTTCACAGGGAGGATGTGTTTTGACATTTGTTTCCAAGCGTTGATTTGATCAGACGTTTGTTTTCAAACGCCACACTGATTACAGTATTCGGTTTTCATCTAAAACGGTGTCGTGTAATCGGCCGCCAATTTAATAATCACCAATGATCTCTGCAATGGAAGTGAATAAATCAAAAAATAACTTAAAAATTCGCTCTCGCCACCCTGCACGCCATAGATATCCATAATAAAGGCTAGATGTCTTACGGCGGAGTCTCTATCGTCATCACCGGCGGCCATCTTGTCACAGGCAAGCTTTCTGGCGGGCTCTGATGTAAGATGAGTGATCAGCACGAACACTAATACTCTTATCTCGTTGAAATCTTGACGGATTTACAAACGGTTTGGTTTCTTACAAGCGTTATTAACGTGGCTATAATTCTGGATGATTATTTATTTATACACTTATTATTCATAAGTGCGCAGTGTCATAACTTCATCTCTGATGTTTATAACAAACCAAACCGTTTGAAAATCGGTAGTAAATTGAGCAAGTTATGGTTATTTAAAAAGTACATGCACCATTAAAACACAATGTTAGAGTGAGCGAGCTGCCTGTGACAAGATGGCCGCCAGTGCGGACGTCGACCTCCATTGGCCAGCAGCGCGGACGAGACATCTAGCCTTTATTATGGAGATCTATGACTTCAACTCTCCTCGCCGCTCTCACCATCCAAGACGCGCCGCCCTCGCCGCCGGCTCTCATTGAAAATGAATGACTTCCGGCCACTTTGACGCTCTCGCCGGCGGCGGTGTGAACGCACAGTTAGTAAAGTAACAGCACAGAACCAGTGTCCGAAATGATTCAGTTATTGAATTAAAGCAGATATAAAATAAAACAAATATTAGATGAAAAACTTAAAACATAAGTAAACTGAATAAGTGCATGTTGTAGTGCTAAAATAATTTTTTAAAATAATAGATGACAAAAGCACATAAAAAAATACTAAAACTAAAATTAAATAGAACTCTACAAATATTCTAATGAATAAAATTCAAAATATTAATAAATACTTTAAATAATCCTTGATGCAAAACACCTCTCTTCAACAAGACGTGATTTGAGGAATCATTCATATCAAATGGAGCATGGATGCTTAAAATTTATTAATTTTGTATTACAGGTACCTTTAAATTGCAATGAGCAACAGTAAGTAATGCATGAGTTAGTAAATGCTTCTATATGACAGGCACTGAAACAACAAATCACAAAGGGCCTTGCAAATCACAATAGGCCTTGAACAAAAATCAGTGTTTGACCCTCATTATTCAAACCTGACAGAACACAATAGGATCCGAAAGAGCACAGCATCCCACTGTCTAAAGAACAGAACAGGGCCATAGTCCGTCGCAATATCTGCAATTCAAAACCACCAGGCAAAACCCATGAGAGACGTGTTGTTTCGGTCTGTCATTATGCAAAGAGTCCAGTCAGATTTGCATAAGCTGAAGAAGAAGAAAAAAATGCTGCACAATTTTGCTGATTTTCACAGCTCAAGTCGTCACGTTTCAGGTGACAGACACAGGTGCGGGAGAGTCTATTATTGAACACAAAAACACACCCGGCGAGAAACGTGCCATTTTATATAATACAACCCATGGACTAGAAGAAAAACTATATTTTGCACATCCCTATTAGTAAGGCTGGGCGATACGGCCAAAAATATTATTACAATAAAATGATTCAGAAATACTATTTTAAGATGTCCGTGTTACAGTGTATTGTAATTATGTTTTATAATAATCAACTACATGTACTTACAATGGGGTTCAGGGTTTGGTTTAAGGTTAGTTGTTTGTAATTATACATAATATATAGTTATTACAACAGTAACTACAAGTGTAACACTCAGTAAATCAGTATTTATGACGATCGATATTCATTTCATCCAATTATTTAGGAAGGAAATCTTTTCACATGTTTGTTGGACCTAAAGAATGAATGTAAACATTACTTGTTTGTGTACATGTAATCTACGTTTACCCCCACAATTCTGTTTTACTTTTTCTAGATTCTGTGTTTTGTGTTTTAATTCAAACATATCATCAAAAATGGTGTCTATTAATTAAATGAATTCATAAAAATGTAACATATACAGACCAAAAGGGACGTAACACAATCCTCAAATTTAACAGAAGTATACATTAAAATATAGATGAAAAAATATCTTGGATGATTGTGTGATAGACTATTCCTAAAAAAAACTCATTATAATAAATCAATTTAATGCTTTAAGAAATTTTTTATTTGCATTTTATTCTATTATTTTTTAGTTCACACAGATGAAAAGTGTCTCTTTCCACTGTCATTGTGCCGCTATGGTAACTTGTGCTGTTAAACGGCATAAAAACATTCCAGAAGTCCCTAATGTTTATCCGCCGTGTTCCAGTGACCTCAAAATCTCACTTCCTTTGACAAACAGCAAGCAGCTATCTAGGAAAACACTTGCTCACTTGCACAACGGGACCAAATCGCAGACAAACACTCGCGTCACCTTTAGACGACAGACACGGGCTCCTCGTGCGAGCATCTGCTGTCTTTCAGAAAGAGAAGAGCAGACGTCTGTCTCCTGTGAAAGCCCAGTCTTTGAGCAGTGACAAGGAATAGGCGAGCACAGTTCCTGTCTGTAAACCCTGCGGATTAAAGTGTGTATTCAGTGCCAACCGGGTCAAAGCGTTCGCTGCTTTACCTGCTCAATAACACACAACAGTGGCAACAAGGGGCACAAAAACAAGCTTCACACACACTAGCCGAATGGGAGGCGTTTGGGAAGCGCCACGGCCCAGAGAAGAGATTAAAAGGAAGTCTTGTGATGATTGATCATCTGTGCTGAAGGTCTCGTGCTAAATAAAGTCCAGAGCTTCCTCTGTCAGTGCAGCTTCTTTTAGTGCTGACAAAAGAGTATCAGTTCACAGAACACAAATGAGCCTCGACAAACAATCAACTAGGGGTGTAATGATACCCTCAAGTGACGATTCGATACTGAACTCACAATACGATACTCCAAAAATTTGGTAAAAGCTTTTTTTTACTGTTGTTCATTAAAATTAATTGGCTTGGACTTGGTGCTGGAAACCCAAAGCACAGGACAATAGAGACACCAGAATAACAATATTCATGATTCTGAAGCTGAATATACAGAATTATTTTAGATGAAAATGCTTGCGCTCTGTCACTGACTAGATATAAATAATGTAGGCCACTTTTTACTGGTAACAAGACATTTGGCATTATCAGGACCAGCAAATATTCCTCTATTGCTTTATTATACATTATATTCAACATTATATAGCAGATTAATGTAGTACTGACACTAAAACTCTAAGGGCATTTTCACACCTGAAAGTCCGCACCAAGGTCCGAACCTAAGGTCATGTTTTGATGCATTCGGTTAGTTTTGGTTTGGATTCACATTGCAATTATGCGAGCGCACTAAAGAACTTTACATGATGTACTTGCATCCTGTCGTCATCATCTATGTGGGCTGCATCTTGACATTGATTGGTTTGTAAACGGCATCTGACGTCAGCGTGTTGTCAATTCGGCGGGTAACTTTGACAAAAATGAAAGAACAGACGCATATCGTTGCCACTATACTGTTATTATAATGGCATTACTACTGCAGCACCAACTACACTCGAGGCTAGTTCAAATTTGCCAAATGAACGTCCTCGCTGTGCGAACATTTTATTGTCGCTGGCAGGACGCAGGACGTGCGTGTGTGTGTGTGTGTGTGTGTGTGTGTGTGTGTGTGTGTGTGTGTGTGTGTGTGTGTGTGTGTGTGTGTGTGTGTGTGTGTGTGTGTGTGTGTGTGTGTGTGTGTGTGTGTGTGTGTGTGTGGGTGTGTGTGTGTGTGTGTGTGTCAGAAACGCTGTGGGCAGGACTGACAGATCTGCACATAAATATTCTTCTTCAGTTCTTTAGGCTATGCGGGAACCACCGAAACTTCCTGTAAATGGTCTGAAAGTTCGAACCATACAGAAAATGCTTTCACACTAGAAAAGAACCAAACCTTAGTTCAGTTAGATATGATTCAGAAATGCTGTCTGTTTGGTCCGGGGGAGGTTTCACACCTGTAATTTTGATTCGGATCAAACTGAAAAGTCCGAAAATCCGGATCAAACAAGCTAGGTGTGAAAGGGCCCTAAATAAACGTGAATTTTTTCCCCTCACACAGTAATTTTCATTTTGGGTGAACTACATATTGTCACTATCCACGATACATATTGTTGCATTTTTGTATTGCGATATATTGTGACACACCTACAATTAACCAGATAATATCGATGCAAGCTTGTTTTAGTCCACAGTGATCCTAAACTCACTTATAACAGAATATGGTACACAAAAGCAAGTCAATTGCCCAACACATTTATCCAGAGATGCAGACACAGCAGTTACAGGGATTGTGCATTGAGTTATAAAGGCTATAGCATTTTTATGATTTCATGTTATTTAAATATAAATATTAATTCAAATCTCACTGCAAGCTGCTTTAGATAAACCACACATGACATTACAGTTCAAAAGTTTGGAGTCAGTAAGATATTTTTAAAGAAACTAATACTTATATTTAGCAAGAGAGTAAAGGCATTAATAATGTAACAAACAAATTTCA